GAGTGTGGGATTTTTCAGTATATTGGGCCGAAGAATCACGTACCCTTGGTACCCGGTGATAGCACACCGGGGCCTCTAGAGCACGCCCTAAGTCTGGAACGCGTTGTTGGGTGGCCGTCAATGAGTGTCTTGTTAGGGTTAGGGGATTAAGCGGGGTCTCCACCATCGGTGGGGCAGTAAGGCACGGTGGCGCGGTCAACCACGAGACATCCCTTGACAGTGAGGCCGAGGTACTCCGTACCTTCCCAACAACAAAAGCGATGATGCTGACATGCCCACATTCTCATTCCTAGCTATCTTCATAAATGAAGGTGCAGTGCTCCCAGTCTATCTGCACAGCGGATCTCGCTCTGATAATGTCATCAGGACATTCTCATCAACGACAGATACCGTGTTGACCACAAGATCGGCGAAGGAGGCTACGGTATCGTCTACTCCGGTAAGGTGCACATGCCAACAGGCCAGATTAAGCATTGAACGCTTACTCGGAGCAGGAACTGATCTTCAATCCAATGGCGAGGCTGCTATCAAGCTCGCGTACGTTCGGGATGGTCCCTATGTGCTGCAGGGCGAGGCAGACACGTACAAGGCACTAGCCGGCGGAGTCGGTATACTGCGCGTCCTATGGTTTGGGCAGGAATGCGATTTCTATGTCCTCGTTCAGGAGGCCCTCGGTCCATCACTTGAGGATCTGTTCAACTACTGCAATCGGCGGTTTTCGTTGAAAACTATCCTCCTCCTTGCCGACAGGCCATTACCCGAATCGAGTACATACATTCGAAAGGCTTCCTCCATCGTGACATCAAACCAGACAATTTCCTCATGGGAGTTGGCAAGCAAGGGAATATACTATATACAATCGACTTCGGCTTGGCTAAGGAACATTCCCTTGCTAAAGAACATAGACAGTACGAACATCGCTTCCTTGGAGGCACTATCCGGTATGCAAGCATCAAGAACCACCTTGAGCAAGGTAGGTATCCGCTCAGAGCCACTCTTCCGTTTTCCCTTCTGACTTCTAGAATAGAGCAGTCTTGGGGTGATGACCTAGAGTCCCTAGGCTACATCTTCGTCTATCTTGCTCGTGGTTCGCTTCCGTGGCAGGGCTTGAAGGCCTCAACGGAGAAGGAGAAGGACGACTCGATCAAAGAGAGAAAGATGAACCTATCCGGGGAAGCACTCTGTGAAGGCATCCTCCCTGGCGAATTCGCAACGTACATCAACTACACTCGGTCGCTAGGTTTCGAAGACAAGCCCGATTACGCGTACCTTCGCAGGCTGTTTCGTCGTCTATTCACAGCTAAGGTTTTCAAGTACGACAATATATTTGACTGGACTGAAAAAAGATTCCATGAAATTCATGGCACTGTCAACCCGCCGGAACATCCGACACCAACGGGTTTGCAGAAGCGAAAACCGAGGCCACTACCGTCGACGAAAGCACCGAGGGAGATGGTGAGCGCCGGTGAGCGCCGGTGAGCGCCGTAGATCGCAAAGGATACGTCAGAGGGGTCGCAAGCGATGATCAACATATTGAGGGCAGTCCCAATCCCGTATCTGGACACGGTTGTCTGTTGTGCAGTTTAGGGCAACAGGAAACTTTTCCAACGCGCTGGGGCTAGACAATCTCCTTCGGCCGTCTCTTGGTGATGGTGACATTCATGTTCTGCTGCAACAGAAATCCTTGTTGCACCCAGTCGAATGGCTTCACTGGGTCTGTCATGGCAAAGTCGAAGCGAAGGAAGAGCTGCAAGTCGCGGTCAGTAGCCAGCTCTGAGAGTCTGGAGCAGTTCCATGATCAATGCTCATTGCGGGCATCAACTCGATGTCACTCACCTCAAATAGCACCTTCCCCAATTCCATGAGTGCCAGTCTCTTGCCCAAACACTCCCACCTTGTTCCTGCTACAAAAACCATTCCTTGTGTGGCCTCCATTTCTTTGAGTCTTTCTGGATCCGCCTCCAGCCATCTCATGGGGTCAAACACGTCGGCATCTTCTCCGAAAACGCTCTTATTTCGGAGGATCTCGAACCACCCAACCGCCACGTTTGTTCCTGCCGGCACTTTCACTCCACAGATGACATCGTCAACATTCGAGCACTTAGGCTGCAGCCCGGCGATGGGCGGCCAAATGCGCGTTGCTTCCTTGATGCAAGCTCCGAGAAACTTCAGCTCCTTCGCCTCACCATCGGCAATCACCGGCCGAGTCACCTTGCCGACCACACCGTCAATCTCGTCCTGCAGCCGGCGATACGCCGCTGGATTCGTCGACAGGTAAAACACGGTTTGCCTCAGCGCAGTCGCCGTCGTGTCCGTCCCCCCGAGCAGGTGCACCAGCGCCTCGGCCTCGACCTCCTGCCTCGACAGCCCGGACTCGACCAGCAGCTGCAGCACATCATTGTTCCGCACCGGCTTCTCCCCGTACCGCACCGCAACCCGCTCGTCGATCGCCGCCAACAGCCTCCCCAGGCCGTGCTTGTCCGTCTTCTTGGGCAGCAGCGGCTTGCACAGCGGCGAGGTGACGAGCCACAGCAGGGGCGGCACCAGCGCCATGAGCGCACAGGGGAGGAGGGTCGCCTCGAGCTCGTGGATGGCGCCCAGAAAGTCCTCCTCCTCGTCGAGGTAGCCAAAGGGCTGCCCAAACTCGACGGCCGAGATGGTGTCCTGTGTGAAGTACATAAACATGGCCGACATGTCAAACGGGCGGAGTCCGCCGTCCCGCGTCGTCAGGTACTTCCGCTCGATCAATGCGATTAATTTGCTCAGCTGTTCGTCAACGACCTGCTCCTGGTTGGGGATGCCCCTGCCCTGGTAGGCGGGGATCAGGCGCGTGCGCAGGTGCAGGTGGTCCCGGTTGTCCACCATGGTGATGACCTGGTCGTTGTTGGGGTCGAACCGGAACCCGGCGTACCACGGCGACCGCTGGTACCGAGACCGGACGGACCAGATGCGCCGGATCTCGGCCGGCGAGCTGACCACCACCCATGAGGGGCCGATTCGGGCGATGGGGCCTGGCGCGGGGGAGGTTAGTTGAGTGACGTGGAGGCAACAATCAAGAGGCCGGAGTGGTTTTGGGCTTGTATGAGTGAAGAGTTATGATCGGGAGGCGTCAGGGGATGGGTTGAGGAGCCGAAAGGTTATAGGTAGCCTTACCGTATTTCTTGGAGACATCTCGCAGGCGGAGTGGGAGTCTGCCGCTGATTTGGCCCCGAGCAAGCCAGAATTTGCTCCATCCTGCTATGGCAGGGCCCGGGATGTGGCGGAGGCGGTACCAGTTACGGACACGGGATACCAAGACCCATAGAATGAGAGCCGCTAGGGCTCCGGCGGCCAAGACGTTCATCGGAAGTGTCATCGTGTTCAGACTGAAAGATAATCCGATGTAAGATGCAATGAGTTGGGGCCTGACACGAAATTGCTAATGGTGCGTCTAATGAGTCTTTTTTATTCCCACAGATCTTCCGGGCCTTCCACACCCTCTTCCCCGTTGTCCATAACTCGGGCCCCGGGGATGCTGCACACCCAGTCGTCTCGTCTTGAGTGGAAATTTTGTTGTAATGCTACTGGTCGAACCGTCGAAGCGGACGGGCCAAGGGTGCTACATTGGGGTACGTGAGGTAATGATTGCATCCATCCGCATGTAGGAACCGCGCAGGAGGTGGTATTTCACAGCTCCTGGTGGTATTGGTCCTACCAAGCCCTTAGTAACGCAGCTTAGAAGTAATCTCCAATTCCCGGCATCCCACTGGCAATAGTCATTCAATGGCTTAACATGCTCTCCCGTGTGCTACCCACCAGTGGTTATGTTCTCACTCCAAGTATTTGAAGCTTGGACGTAGTGAAATCAGCGTGGGAGGTAGGTCGATTCAGTGGTCAGCACACACTGCATGGAGACTGATATAGCTTGAGATTAGGCAATTGATAGGGACGCACTAGTACTCCGTTAACGACGCACTAGTACCCCATGAGGGTTAGGGTTATTGCCGTCGCCAATCTCAACCCTTCCGCCCCGACCCTGGAGAACCCATCTTACTGCCTTTGAATTCCACGCAAAGTAAGCTCAGAAAACGCGATTCCAGCCATCTTCAAAATTGAACTCAATAGAGTACGTTCAATTCAACTGCGATCTATTCGACTACGATCAATCCGACTGCGAATCCGACTATGATCAATCCAACTACCTTTCTAGTACCGTTGCCGGCCCACCTTGTATTGCCAGAGCAGCCGCTGCTGCCGCCGCTATCAAGTAATGATCCATCCGGCCGTCGCTGGAGACTGGGAGCAACGCCAGCGACACCAGCGACGCCATACGGGGTACAATGGTTCCCATACCGCCACCGTAAGGCAACGCCCCACGACGGACAGTTGGATCACAAGCGACAGTCCCCTACAGTTCAGTCCTGGGCGTGGATACATTTGTGAAGATATCGCCAAGGGTAATGTGCCTCCTCCTGACGGACCTGCTGCTGGTCAGCGGCAGATCCCACCCGCTCTACAGTAGGCGCGGGCGTAGGCATCACAGACGGAGCGGACGAAGCGGAAGAGGGCCGCTGGCGATGATGGACGCCCCAGAGCCACACGTCGCAACGAGGCCTTGGAATGAGGGCGAGGATGGAGGGCGTAAGGCAGGGAGGGCGAGTAGCTAACTAAGGAGGTTGGACCAACTGTTGTAAATTGAGCAACCTTCAGTAAAGTAGTGTATTTGAGCGAATTCAGCGATTTGAGCCATTTGAGCCATTTGAGCCATTTGCAACAGGTTCCAGTACGTTGAATTGAACTGCAGTAAGATGGGTTCGCAGGGTGGGCGCAGGAAGATGGGGTGGATGCTAGCGATAACCCTAACCCTCATGAGTACTAGTGCGTCGCTAACGGAGTACTAGTGCGTCCCTATCAATTGCATAAGGTATGCAGGATTCAACGAGTTACATTGCTTAGCACCTGTTCCTCACCACGCGGGTCTGCATGTGGCTTCTCTGACTACCTAGGTGCCTACATGATGCGAAACCATTAAAACGACGCCTCAAACCATTAAAACGACTGTGTCGTTACTGCCAGGACGCGCAGTTTCTTTTCACATCAAATTCAAGTGATAAATCCAAGCGACTGAGCTCAGGGCTCGGCCTTTCCAGGTCTTAGTAAAAATTCCCAATTGAATTGTCTTGGCAGTGCATGCGTATGCAATATTCTCTCTCAAAGTTGGTGTCGATTTATAAGTACAAAGCTGGGTGTTAAGCGAACGGCTTGGCGTGAGCAGAATGTGTGGGAAGTGGTTCGTGCAACAGTCGTTTTAATGGTTTGAGGCCGTCGTTTTAATGGTCTGGATATGATGCTAAGCAGCACGCTCAAGCAGCATGTTCTCGTGTGCGACTTGACTTGCCGAACTTTTGGGTGTTTTGTTGGCATTATATGGGGGACTAGCGCAATAAAAAGCAGTAAACAAAATTTGTAAGTGAAGTAAACAAGGGACCTAGGTTGGTCATCCCAAGAGACTACAAAGTAGAGTAACTACCTAATTCTGAGTCCATAAGATAAGTATCTAAGCAGTCACATGTGAGGTTCTTGTGTTTTCGTTGATCCTTGTGCTTTGTCAGGATCACGGCAATGGAACTCTTAACATATGAGTCTAGTATACCTAAGGAAAAGTAATGACCACGGGCCCATGGTGACAATATGTACACATACATTATGGTCCATTGAAAGGGAAATGTACATACACTTGACTGGCTTGAAGACCTCTTGCGATTATGTCATGTATGTAGGAGGCCAGCCTGAGTACTACCTCCAGTCATTGCCACAACCTTCACTTATAGTCCAATCTCCCCTTTGCCAGATAGTTAGTATGGCTATGAACACATTGAAACTTGGCTCTTCCATGGCTACCATCTTACTCGCATGCTTGTGCCTGTTTACAACGGTTGACCTGTTCTTAGACTGCGTTAACCCGAACCCTGTCTGTTTGATTGTTTACTTCAGGGGCAAGACACTTGCCAGGTCCAGGATCACGAAGCCCCATAGACACGTCCATCCTAAGAGACACATTGTCTTGGAGTCGTGAATCTAAACCATGGAATGCTGGCCGTGTCAAGGAGCAGTTGACCTGCCCATCCCGGCCGAGACCCGCCTCACTTGCCCTCCTCCTTCTGCAGGTTACCGCCGAGTGAAAATTCCGCTCGCATCGCATCGTCGACGGTGAAGCGGAGCCTGATGATGCGGCCAATAAAGCGGCAGGAAGACTAGTGATTTCTTTCTACAATGGTCCCGCCTTTGGCCCAAGTTCAGTTCTTTCTTCCCTCGCTTCTTCTCTTTCACCTCGGTTCTTCCCTCGCTTCTTCTCTTTCACCTCGGTTCTTCCCTCTTCCTCCCGTCACCTCTTCTCCGCCCACAATTTTTCTCTCACTTTGTGGATTTGTTCCGTCTGCCCTCCTTCTTTTCCCAATTTCTCGTCTAATCTCTTCTGTCCGGACGAAAAATCGCCCTCGCGTCACCTGTGCTTCTCCTGACGTGAGTTTCTCTCCCTCTTTCATGATAGTTCTCGCCGTTAACACAGAGCAAAAAGCCAGCAGGTGCCGCCATTACCATGACCAACGGGCCTGCTGCCAATGGCAGCAACGGCAGCGGCAACGGCAACGACAACGGCCATGCTGCCAGCGCCGCGTTCCTCTCTGGCGAGGTCGGCGCCAGCACCTTGGTCCTTCGCGACGCCAACGTCGCCACCAACGTAAGAACTGCTTCTGTTGTCCTTGCCACCCTTCCCAGAACTGACTGGAATGCATAGACCACTCCCGGCCGTCCCTCCCTCGCCGCGATCCGCGCCCTGATCGGCCGGATTCGCAGCGAGGCCTTCAGCATTCGCTTCTTCCGGCCCCATCAAGAAGAAGCGATTTTGCGGATCATTGAGGGCCACAGCGTCTTGTTTGCGCTGCCCGGAGCGGCTGGGAAGTCGCTCTGTTACCAGGTAGGTCCAGTTGCTGTTCCGATATCCAAATTGTATCTGTCTGGTGTAGATGTTGCCAGCTTGGCCAAGACTGGACTCTAAGTGATTGACATTCTCTGACTTTGACAGCTTCCCTTGGTTGCTTCCAGGGAGATTGACAGGATTCGCGGCTGCAGCGCCTCGGAGCACCCTGGCCTCACCCTGGTCATAAGCCCGTTTCCAGTTCTCAGCAATGTGGGAACTCACTCGGGCAATGTTCTTTTGTGCGTGGGTCTTCCGGGCTGTCATCTGGCATCAGGCATGACTTCTGATCCTCGGAACTGGGCGCGACTCTACCATCCCCTAAGGGATGGTTGTATCCGGATTCTTTTCTGCTCGGCCGAAATGCTGAAATCGACCGGCTTTCTCGATGCTTTGGCTGCTGTTCCTGGCGGGATCCGTCGAGTGGTTGTCGAGGAAGCGCATCAGCTATCTGAGGTATGAAATATTGATGGCACTGGCAGATCGTGTCTGCGGCAAAAGAAAAGTTGAAGTACAGGACTAACCTTCAATGCGTATTTGATAGGAGAACGTCTGCTTCCGACCTGAGTATTTCAGGGGTGAGTACTGTATCCTGAGTTTTGACGCCCATTGCCTATGTGCAGTGGTTAGGTGTGCTAGCTCGGTACTAACTGCCTGGTCTTACAGCTCTCTGTGTTCTCTCTCGGCGACTGAAGCCACAGCAATTCGTGCTCCTCACTGCTACAGCGCCCCTAAGTACCACAACGGATCTCCGGAAGCGGTTCTGCATTAACGATGACGGCTGTCATTTCACCCAATCTTCATACAGGTCAAAGTAAGTACATGTATACCTACTATGCTTACTAGCAACTGGGCACCTTACCTTATGCAAACCGACATACCATTGAACCCCGTCCGAGTCACGGTATCCCGGGTGTTAGCTAACCCCATACAGCGTCGACATCCGAGTCATGACGGCCAACCCGTCCCACACTCGACGGGCAAGCGACCTGGATGTTTACGTTTGGAAAAGGCCTCTGAAGCTTGACTCAGACTGGGCCAAGTACAGGGCGAACGCTACGCTTCGCTTTCTGAGGGAGCACAAGGGCCCGGCCATCATCTATTGCACCAACCCCAGTCAGGCTGAGGCGATCGTCAAGCGGCTTATGCCTGATGACCCCCAGGATGGTACCCTTACCGTGCCTTTTCACGAAGAGTTGCCGGTGGCTGAGAGGCAATGGCTTCTTCACAGGTTCGAGCGTGGCCTGGTTCAAAATGTAAGCCCGACTTATTCATGTTTCTTGTTCTCCGAGTCTGCGAGTTCATGTTAGGCACCTGGTAATTACAAAGGACTTAGCTAACCACACGTGAAAACACATGCACAGATTGTCGTCACTTTCGGGAGCGGCTTTACCACGAGGCGTATTGATGTGGCTAAGATCGTCCACTGGGATCTGCCTCTGACCATCGAAGACTACATCTTTCAGATCAACCGCGGCGGACGTAACGGCAAACAGGTGTTATCCCTTGTTTGGCTGTCGCCAGTCGCCAGCTACTTCAGCAAGTATCGCTACTGGGAAGGTTTGCCCTCTCGCGGAGCCGTCGAGAAATTGGTGTCTCAGATCATTGTCCGCGGCACTGAACAAGCCAGGAAGCAGGAAAGGCTCGTTGGCAACGACGTCCACTCGCTCCATTACAACATGAGCGAACTTGGCAGGCATTTTAACATACACCCGGAAGCCCTCAACATGATCTTTTACCTCTTGGAGCATCGCCACGCTGTGGTCAAGTCCCTCAGCTCGTTCCGGGCAAAGGTCATCTTTTCGACCATCACACCAAGCCTTATCCATAAGGACGAGGCCATCCTTGATCCTTCCACGTATAAGATGCAATCGCCTGCGGCGCAGGCCGTCTGGAGATGCGCCAAGTCACTCTCATGCAACGAGCTCAACCCTCTTGACGACGAAATCTCGGAGGATGACGACGACGAAGTGAACGCAAAGTCCAAAACCAAAAATCAGCCCAAGAAAAAGGGCAAGGGGGCCAAGGGGGGTAAGGGCGTCAAGGGGGGTAAGGAGGCCAAGGAGTCCGAAAACAAGAATAAGGCTTACAAGAGAACCGGCGATGACGATGACCGAGAGCCCTCCCAAACCGAGCCAGGCCGAGAGGCTGAAGATAACAAAACCATGGAGTACACATGGGAGCTGGACATGCCCAAAGCCATTCTTCATGCGCGCCGCGCCTACCGCACAATGCTCACGAGTGGCACCGCAACATGGCCGGAGGACAAGGATGACAACCCGTGGGCCTGGGGACAGGTCGACGACTGGGGTCCCGAGATCCTGCGCTACATCCACCAGCTCTGCGCCGAGCAGGGCGGCAGCTGCACCGATTTTGCCCTCTTGGAGAATCTCTGGATGGTTCGCTCTGATTCTGACCCCCAGTCGGGCGACTCTGCGAGCAGCAAGCCGGAGGAGGAGGAGGAGGAAATCCGCACTTTCAAGCTCCGCAAGCTGCCTCTTAACGACGACGAGCAACCGGCAGACTTTGCGCACAAAATCGCCGACGCCGTCCACAAGGAGCTCCTCGAACGGCGGCGAAAGGCGGCCGACGCCGAGAAAAGTGTCCACGACCTCTTCTTCGAGGGCGGCCGCAAACGCACGTGCTACAATGCCCTACTGGAGCAGTACGCGCTCTCGAAGCCGCCCGGCGAGCAAGGTCTGCGCGTACCCTTGGGCGGCTGCGGTCATTGTGACCCCTGCCGCGGGCAGTACGAGTTCAAGAGTATGAGATTTGTCCATGGCAGCGAGGATGAGATACCTGATGACGAGGTCGTCATGGCCTTCATGCGGCGGGTGCCTGACAAGTTCAAAAATGATCCGTTCACCCTGGCAAAGATTGCATATGGCATCCATGAGCCCCAATGGGGGTATGTACCGGCCTCGTTGAGGCTCATGCTGATGAATTTCGAGTTTGAGACGCTGCAAAGGACGTTAGAGAATCTGCGCCGTGCACAGTCAGTGAAGGCTGTCGCGGTATGCACATATTGAACGGAGCGAAGGGGTTATGTTTGGGAGTTCAAGCTGTTTGATAGACCAGGCCATTAGGCATTTTCATGTCATACTTATGGACCTTAGGCTAGAGATCACGGATTGTGTCGGTTACGGGGTTTCAAGGGAACATGAACTGCAAGGATTCCTATATACTGGTCACAGCCGGAATAGATGCCTCGACATCGTTGAGTTCCACCCCTAGATAGAACAAGTCCATGTTGTTTCCATCCACGGCTGGCGCTGACTGTGAGTCGAGTGACAGTGAAACAGGCGAACAAAAGTAACATAAGCATTGTAATAACAGGTCAAGACAAGAGTATGGATGACCGAGTTCCAGTAATTTGACGTTGTGTTGAATCCCCTTGCAGCCTGATCGTTAGCGTTGACCATTTCTCCCACTTTCATACCAGTTCTCGCCGTTAACTTCCTCCCAGGAATACCTCGTAGATATCTGCCCTCAGATGCCATCTCTCAATTTATTCCTGTCACCATATTTCGAGGAGCTTCATGCCTAGGTAGGCGACTGAATACTATATTCCGCTATGCCATAACCTATCTCTTCGTTATCGGTTGTCTAGGTACCTAACTCAATGCTATCTTGAAGACAAAAACTTTACTAAAAAGAAACCAACAAATTCAGTGAATTTTAGAGAAGGTCAATAAAAGCAAAGAACGGTACAACCAGACCATATATCCAAACCAAACTTGAAGCTCGCTACCTCACCCAAATTGCGCGCTCAATATCACTGGACCAAGAATGAAAGTTCAGGCTCCCTCCAGCTGCGGCACATATATCTCCACTCAAAGGCTTTGGTCGACCCGTTGACGAGACCTCCTAACGTGACTACCTTAATCCAACTTTTGCTTCCATCCTGAGTACCCCCATTCCGCCCTTGCTTTAAGCCACACGTCAAGGGCCTATTAAAAGGCACAGCAAATGGCCGACGCGGCGGCACAAAAAGCCAAGAGACATGGTATGATGGCCCCGGGACCCAGCCTCAAACAACCGGCTGCGCGGGTGCACATCCTTTTGATACATCGTTGGCACTCGGGATCGATTATGTCCATCGTTTCAACGGAGTCGGTGTCCGCCACTTCGATGGAGTCGCTGTCGGACGCTCGTCCTTCAATGGACTCGAGTTCCGCGGCCAGGTGGGCGATGGAGTCGTCGCCGCCCGATGCTCGTCGTTCGATAGGCTTGACCACTGTAGCCAGGTGGGCGAATGCAAGCCCGATAAGGAAGAAGATGGTGAATGAGAGCTTCATCTCGGCGGTGGTTATGTATCAACTATCAGGAGTCTTGATTTGGGAGCAGGCTGAACTAAGGCCACGTAATAGAAGAGTCCTAGTCTGAGAGGATATAATTACTGACTTGAATGGTAATAACTTGGAGGGGAAATATCCCCATCTTTATACCATTTTCCTTCCACGGCACCTCATCCAGCCTGTCCCGCAACTTAAGGGCCTACCCATCATGAAGAAGCCGCCCGGCTGTTAGTTACACCGGGCTTATCATCGCTTTGAAGAAGATTGTGGTGTTATGCCAGATATTTCCCTACTTTGAGCCTGTTGTGAAGTCTTGGGTCGCTTTTTAATAAATGTATTGTGTTTACCTCAACTGCGCCAAGATACAGCACCGACTGCTCTCATCACCCCGGCTTACGGTTGCATTGCAGCTGTAAGGTATGAAGGACCGAGTCCTAGTAACTTGACGTTGTGTCGAATCCCCGTCTAACCTGGTCGACAACAACTTGGCACCGACCAGGTTGGGAGAGCGGAGTGTGATGAGCACCTGATCATCCATCAAGAAAAAGTACATGTATTGTTCTACTCAGGAGTACTGACTCGGACCCGGGCTGGACCCTCAGCCCTCGTACAACGCACAAATTCCCGAGAGATCTCTCTGTTTACTGTTCAGGGGTTGGTGAAGTAAACAGGTAGGTTATATTGCTGAAACTCAATGTTTGTTCCAAGGTCTCGCGAGCTTCAGCAAGTCACATCCAGCATCAAAAGAAGCCCGAACAGTTCAAGGGCTCGATCCAGCTCCAGATATAAAAGAACGGACATCTCCTGACCCTCCTGGTATTCCTCTCTTTCTTTTCCTCTCCCAAACCTAAACTCAGACAACTGCTGGGACTACTTGATTACAGCAAGCCTCGGTCCCTCTGCTCCGCAACAATGGAGCTCCAGCCTCTTCCCTCTCGCCAGGACGGCAATCCCGCCAACCTGGCTCCCCTCTCGACCAGACCCGTCCAGCTTCACGAAGCTGACCCGGGACACAAATCGCCTCCGGGACCTTCTTCACCATCCGAAGAAGCCATCCCCACCGATACCGATCCCCCTAAGCGTCTTTCCACCCCGCGCCTTCTGCTGACCCTCACGGCCCTGGCCCTGTCCATCTTCCTCTACGCCATGGACATGACCATCCTGAGCAACATCGTGCCAGCCATCACGGCCGATTTCCACAGCCTGCACCACGTCACCTGGTACGGCAGCGCCTTCTTCCTCACCACGGCCCCCTTCCAATCGGCCTGGGGCAAAGCCTACCGGTACTTCCCGCTCAAGCTGACCTTCTTGACCAGCATTCTAATCTTTGAGCTAGGCAATCTTCTCGCGGGCCTTGCGCCCAACAGCCCCGCCCTCATTGCAGGCCGCGCCATCAGCGGCATGGGCGGTGCGGGAATCGTCACGGGTGTCTTTACTATCATCTTCATCGTCGCGCCGCCGGGCAAAGCCTCCTCTTGCATGGCACTCTTGGGTGTCACTTTTGGCTGCGCCAGTGTTCTGGGCCCGTTGCTTGGTGGGTTGTTTACCACCACCACTACTAACATTCCGGGGCTGATGGGTGGCTGGCGGTTGGCGTTCTTTGTCAATCTACCCCTTGGTGCTCTCGCCGCCAGTCTCTTCTCGGTCGCCCTTAAGCTCCCCTCTACCGCTTCTCCTGCTACGCAGGAGGAAGAGCTGTCGCTGATACAGAAACTGCTGCATATGGACCCGCTCGGAGTGTCTGCGGTCATCGCCGCCGTGGCGTGCTTGATCATTGCTTTCGAGAATGGCGCTGCCAGTGGAGAATGGGAGCGGGCTGATACCGTGGCCATGCTGGTGGTGTTTGGGGTTCTCGCCATCGCCTTTGTGCTGGTGGAGTTTTGGCAAAAGGAGCAGGCCATGATCCAGTTCCGCATCCTCAAGCAGTGGAAGATCGCCGGCAATACGGCCATCATCTTCTTCGTCTCCGCTGTGTACATGCCCCTTCTTTATACCCTGCCCATCTACTTCCAGTCGGTGCAGGATCTTTCCGCGGCTGACAGTGGCTTTCGCACTATCCCGCTTATCCTGGGTGTGTCCATCTTCACCATCATCGCCAATACCTCCATGCCAAAGCTGCCCTGGGAGCTATGGCTCGTTGTTGGGCCCGTTACCATGATGGTGGGTGCTGTAGGCTTGTACACGGTCGGTATTGACACCCCCTTGCCCTATGCCCTTGCATTTCAGGGGCTGACTGGCGCAGGCATCGGCCTTGTGCTGCAGGTTCCTATGATGGCTAACCAGCGTCTTGTGGCCTCTCCGTCTGACATTGCAGGCGTGACTGGTATTACTCTGTTCTTTGAGCAGACCGGGAATCTTCTCATAACAGCCGCTGTTGAGGCGACCTTTGTGGACGGTTTGGTCCAATGCGTAACCGACCGGGCCCCCCAGATTCCTGCTAGCCTAGTTATTCAGGCCGGAGCCACAGGTATTCGGCACAAGTTTGGTCCGGACTCGCCTCTCGTTCTGGACTGCTACATGGATGGTCTTCACAAGACTACCATCATTGGCCTGGTGTGCGCAGTGATTGCCTCGCTCGTTGCCTGTATTGAGGTGTCTGCCGTCTTGCTTGGTCGCCGGAGCAAGTAAGAATTTACCCGGGCAGTCTGAGAGTTGATTAGTCGATGAGTTGTGCTATGCGATATTAGTAGCATAGATACCTAGGAAATGAGATTGTTTTGACGGGAACATTGGTTGATTCACTCTAGGAGTGATGAGTTTGTGCTGTGAGGAGGGATCATGGATTGGTAGCATACCCAGATATGTAGTAGCTAGGAAATGAGAATGTGTTGATGGAAACTTTTCTTTTCTTGATTCAGCCTAGGATTGATGAGTGATATTGTACCGTGACGGTATTAGCCTCCGTAGCGTACCAAGGAAATGAGAATGTGTGGACAGAGACCTGTTGATTTGGCCCCTGTGATGAATGTAATACTGTCTGGTAGTAAGAGTTTGCGTTACGTACCTACATTGTGAGTTCTGACTTTGAACCACAGGCCTGTGATGTCAGGATCCCTTTCACAGTGAACCATGGTATTGAGGTGGTTAGGGCAGACAAACGTACTGCCCCCAATCTTCGTCTTCAATCATCATGTTAGGATCATCGTAGCTTGTTCCAAAGCAAGTCGCTTGTCGTTAGCTGGCAGAGTTGACTTGTAAAGACAAAATCATACAATCCTTTGGTGGAGGTAGACACAAACAAAGGGGCTCAAGTTGCTTACCTCAACAATAAAAGGAGTGTTACCAGAATCAATGTTAGATTTAAAAGCTTTAAGCATCCCACACAGCACTCCCTCATCTGCAACTCTGCATTCGACAACTTTGCACACAAGGATCCCTACCTCACAGGCATCCTGAAGAACAGCAACTCCGAGGCTCCCAGCCGGTCCACCAAAACCTTTGCGAAGAAGATGGGCAAAAACACGAAACGGTCTCACAAGAATAAGAAGCCTAAGAAGGGGGGGCCCGAGAAGGAGGTTCCAAACGACCCATCCGTTCAACTACCCATGGCGGCCATGACCCCTTCTGATCCAGCTACGGACGCTAATTCGGTCGACTGCTCCAACCCATCTAGCTGCGATCCAACCACCTCAAACAATGCTCATCAGTCTTCCCTTATGGGTCTGATGTTTGCCGAGACGCCGGACAAAAAGGATGATCAGGGGGGCTCTGCTGACCCAGCTCATCACGCTGGATGTTCCACTAAACAAGAGGGCTTGAGCCTGCTGAAGTCGCAGCCTGCATCGGAGCAGGACGGGGATGATGACCTTGACGACTGGGAAGAAATTGATTTGAATGGTGACACTGATCAAGACTCAGAGTCCGAGTGGGAGGTGGTCTCAGAGGACGAGGACTGGGAGCTTGTATAAAAGCCAGTCAAGGCGAACGAGCTTTGATGTCCACATTACCCATTGCCGAGTTGCCCTGAGCCACTTTCCTACGCCAACCCGTAGCTATGAAGAACGAGAGATAAGCTGTTTCAGACTTTGTGTGAATATCAAGTGACATGCCGGATAGATGTAGGAAGAGAGGTGTGGTCTTGAGATCCTCTCCGAGGGTGAATGTTGCAGCAGCTGGAGGGGATGATGTTAGTCGATGGCACGCAACCCAAGCTAAATACCTCTCATAACCGAAGCTGCCGATAATCGCAGGTTGGGCGATGTCTTGAGCAGCTCCTTAGCCAGCCAGCAATGGTGATGGCTGTGAAGTCGAAACAAGGATGGGGTGCGAAGGGCGTCGGCGAGTAGGCGAAGTTTCTATTGTGTACGGGGTGCCCAGGCGATGAAGCCCCTGTAGTAACTGATATTGTGACGGAAAAAAGGTTCCTCATCTAGTCTATTTCTTCTCTGATGTGCGGTTCGTGAGTTCGTGAAAGGAGACCACTGTTCAGTACGTTGTATTACTGATGTACCCAGACCATGATGTTATATCTTGATTGGTATACACAGCATAGTATCTTCCCATTAACTTAGCTGAGTCCGAGGAATGCAAGACAGCAACTGGTGCAGGCATCCATAAAACCCAGTGTTGGCAACCCAAAACGGCACTAACGACATCGCGTCGTCACACAAGTTCTGGGGCTTCCTGTCGAGCGTGAGGTAGGCGCATTTCGATTCGGGGATACGTGTCTCAACCGACGAATGCCGGATCGCTAGGGTATTGCCGTCGAGCACTTTGGGTATCGTCTGAGAGGTATCTTTCCAAAGCATAACACGTATTTGCCTCCCGTTCAACGCTTTGGCGGAGGCGGAGGAACGTCATCCCATCGACCGCGGGCTTGGTTTCGGAGTTCCTCGATGAAGTGCTTCAAGAAGCCTTCTGCGCGATTCGGCTCAGCTGTGCTGGAATCAGCCCCTGCCCTGGTTGCGCGCGCTCTCAATATTCCAAGTGCCTACCTGTGGCCTCGCCCTGCCGCAACGGCTCGCTTGGATCTCGGCCATGGCGGAGATCTTCAACGGTCCTGTGTATCCGACGAACGCCACGATGGAAGGCCGGAATGCGGAGGATCTAGAGAAATACCCAGGTTAGGTGCAAGGCCGGCACGCTCGCACTCGTGAGGTTGGGCTTACCTGCTGGACGATGACGTCCTGCAAACAGGTAACTTGGCGATCAGCGGCCAGTTGCGGAAGGCTATTCGAACAGTGAGCTCACCTCAAGGCTCAAGTATATAGCCCACAATACACGGGCCCATGCCATCTCGACGCGCTATCACATTGCAGGCGTAATGAGGACAACTTGGTGTGTACCGTCCTTGCCATGTGAGAGACAAGGTTGGAAAGAGGCCCCGCCCGGGCGAGTTCGGAGCCCCACCATTTCACGTGGGCATCATTTCAAGCGGGCTGAGTGCTGAGTCATCAATCAACTGTACCCCAGAAATTGCTAGCACTCCGCGATTGATCCGTTCTCGATCTCGATCCTGTTCCCGTCCCGCCTGGATTCACCAAGCAGGAGACACACACCGAGTTTACACCACTTACACCAAGGAGTATATCCGTTCAAGCACACCCTCCATACTTACCCATCGCCGGCAATACAGTACATGGCGAGTCTGTGCACCCAGCGAAAACTCCGGTTGGTCGTTTTCGACATTTTAGTCGCTTTTTCTTCTGCTGGTTCTTGTTGTCAGGCTCGAGCCAGGTTTTGTCAGCAGCAATCGCATGATCTTCCTACCTCCCGGTAGTCGTCCAATATGCGGATTATGCGCCCTGAAGGTGTGAGGTGCGGGATGCTCTAGAGGGAATTGCCATCACGTCAGGCCCCGATTATCACTACTGTATCCGTATCTGTCCCCTCTGACGACGGATCTGAGTTACCAATGTGCCCCTTCCGTTTCCATGTTCCTGGTTCCGAGCTACCGACATTCCACGCTTGATTTGGCAAGTGAGGGCCAGACTGCTCGACGTCGGACGAGATGCATAATGTAGGTTGTCGCCTCCTCGCTCCCATTCTTTCGCCACAGCAATGCGCCCTGCCTGCCTCTACCTCACGACACGCCGAATGAGGCAGAGCGAGCATTTCCTACCGGCGCGAACAGCCGGCTCGGTTATACTTGTCGGCTTTTACATGCTTGAAAGCGGCAAGAGACGGCACGGTTGAAGACTTGGGCGTCGCCCGGCCGCTTCCTCGCCAACCTCTAGCGACAAAGCAGCCCAAAACAATAGGTCTAGGATTCGGAGAGATAGCGTAAAGTATGTTTCAGAACCGTTCAAGGTCCGGCTGAGGGCACCGTTCTGCCGTCATAGCTCACAGCACCAGCAAGGCTATACTAAGGGTAAGGATCTGTATTAATACAAGGTGATCAAGAAGGATGGACCGAGCTAGGCCTGGCAGGCTGGCTCTTGATCTCAAACTCGGATGCTTCTTCAGTTCCCAGGTGCACCGTGTTTGCACGACAGCCGCACTTTTCGCCAACCTCCCATTTCTGTGGCACGTTCAAGATCTGCGACGCAAACGAACGCTGCCTCGGACCGTCCCGTATCATGACCGTCCCGCAAAATGAAGGTGCAAGAGGATTCGATCAAGTCGGTCGGTCTCACTCTTCTGTACGAGCCAGACTGGCCAGTAGACCCGGCGGTTGAGTGAGTAACCTAAACATTGTCCGCGCTTCCCTGATCGTTTCCGCTGACCACAGCGGGCTCAGTGTCATTCTTGTGCACGGCATCGGCGGGCATCCAGTCCGGTCATGGAAGTGTCAGGTGCAGGAGCAGACCCCAATCAGCCCCAACTCGACTGGACATAACACCTCCACGCGACGGCGACTCAAGAAACCCCCGCCGGTATCCGCGCTACGCCGATCGAACTCCGAACCCGTGCTTGCTGAAGCATTAGGCTCCGTTGGTAGATCTAGGAGTCTGCGGAGAAAGAACTCGGCCAAGTCGTCGTCGAGGCTCAAGCTAGCCATCAATCCAGCCGACCATTCCTGTCAGGGCGCTGAAGCCGAGGCTGACGCGTATTGGCCATTGACCTTCCTGCCAGAGTCATGTCCCAATGCCAGGGTCTTCACTTGGGGCTATCATACCCTCGTCGTCGACAAAAAGCCGCTCCGGCTTCAGGGTGATATCTTTGCCCATGCGGGAGAACTGTTAGTCGAGCTTGCCAGCACACGCGCGGTGCTGGGCGCGAGAGCCAGACCCATTATCTTCGTGGTTCATTCCACGGGAGGTGTTCTGGTCAAGGAGGTAACTGCCATGGCGCCGTCGAGAGAGACGGGCTTGTCACTGACGCTTATAGCTCCTCCGCATCTCCGAAGCAGAGCGAGATGGGCCATTAAAGGACATTCTCCTTTCGACGTCCGCCGTAGTGTTTCTCGGAAGCCCCCACCGCGGAACCGAACACTGCGACCTTGGGGATGCCATCAAGAGCATGGCATGCGTCACGCTCCCCATCGATTCCAACGACCCTGTCCTGTCGGAACTATGCGGTGCCAACAGCGTGACGGTTGAGCTAGGCCGGCAGGCGTTCGTACGCCTGTGGAACGACTATAATTTCCGCGTCAAGACTTTCCAGGAGTCGGTTCTTCCAACCAACAGCGACCCCGAGCTCAGGTCAGAAATGGTAAGTGCATCGTAAGGCAGCCGTGTTCCCGCTGACAAGAGAAGACCATCCGTCGGCTAGCAAGCTTCATCGGTGACCCTCGGGAGTGCGCCGAGACGATAGGGGCGCTGCACGATAACATCTGCAAGTTCGCATCGGCAGAGGACCCCGGATATTGCGCCCTGGTTAAAACCTTGACTGCATTTATTGCTAGCGAAGAAGATAGAGTAAGGTTTCCCCTTATTTGCCACGGGAGTAATAATCTGACAGTCACCAGCGACATGTATTGGACGCCAAGGAGATAGGTAGGTGCTTCAAAGATTGCTGTAGGAACAAATTCACACAACTCACACGAGTCAGCTTGCCTGTCTGCCCTCATCCAGCCACAGCTCACTCATCTCGAAGCAAGTCCAGTAGCCTCCTACCCAGGTACATGCCTCTGGTTGTATGACCTATATGACTTTGAGGCATGGCATCACCGCAACGGGCCGAGCAAACACAAAGTTCTTTGGATTAGGGGCGAGCCGGGATGCGGGAAGAGTGTCCTGCTTAGGTCGCTCCGGAGAAGATTGGAGAAGCAGTGGGGGCCAGCGGGCGCGTATTTCATATGGACTACTGCTGAAGGCGATGACGCCAAGAACGTCGGCATACCCGGAGCGCGACAGCAGCAGCACCACCACCACGAAGCCGGCCCGGCGGCCGTCTACCGACGCCTCCTCGCACAGCTCTTCCTCCACGACTCCCGTCTTCGGAAGGCACTTGTAAAATTATACGATCAAGCACGGCGGGGCTCGACGCCCTTTGACGACGCACAGGTGGTTTCCTTCTTTGCCGACCACTACGTGAAGCAGAGAATCGAGACGTCGGCCAGAAGGACCTTTATTTTCGTCGAAATAGCAGATGATGCTGGTCGAGCGTATGTCCGGGAGCTGCTTGGCCGTCTGTCACGAATGGCCCGTAACTCGGATTTTAGCGTCTGCGTTGCGAGCGCCTATCACCCAGAGATCGAGGACCAAAACACGATAAGCATTCCGATGCATCTGCGCAACAGCGACGATATCCTGCGGTATGTCAACCTGAATCTGGTGGCCGAATGGGAGGAGCGAAACCACACGGTCATGACCGTCGGGCAAAAATCAAGCGGCGTATTCCTGTGGGCCGAGATTGTCGTCAACATCTTGAACGCGGCCATCATCGAGGGCGCCACCCAGGAGATGATCGAATACACCCTGGAAGAAGTCCCCGGCGATCTCCATGGCCTGTACGAGTGGATGCTGTCAACCCTGAACGAGAAAGAAAAAGCCGAGTCCCTGATCCTGTTTCAATGGGCGATCCTCGCCGCGGAGCCGATGCGCCTCAACGACCTGTCCGTTGCGGTGCGTCTCAGCGAGCCAGACCCCTTTGCCTTGTACCAAGCATCCGGCCCGCTTATGGCCTTCGACATCGGCACGCCCTTCTCGATGCGTGAGCTGCGTCAGCTCCGAAATTCAGAAATCACTACCGACACCCCCTATCAATTCCACCGCTGGCTGCGCGCCCGCTCAATCGGCCTCCTCGAGCTACAACCTGACGCCTGCCAGCCGGGCACCCAGGAACCCCTCGGCCTGCAGCGCGTCCAGCCCATCCACACTTCCGTCCGCTCCTTCTTCCTCTCCGGCCGAGGTTTTGCGTGCCTCGCTCCAAGCAACTCGTCTATCTCAGCCAACCTCCCGCCTGCCAGTTACATCGACATCTCTCACTACGCCCTGCTCCGTGCCTGCCTGACCTACCTTAATATGCGGGACTTCGAAGGGCTTGGGCACAAGAGACCTCCAGTTTCCCCCGTCAAATCACCAAAATCAGGCCACCACCATCACGGATTCAACCTACCACCTTGCTCCCCCTTCTCGGATCCAAACCCACAACAACAACAGCAACAGACCCCACATTGCACATCCAACCACCCGGCGCCACTCCGTCCGCCTCAGTACCACCACCCGTCCCCATCATCCCTATCCCCATCCCAATCCTCAACCACTCCACTCCCGCCCCGGGACGAACAGCGCCGGCTGGTCATGTCAAGCTACCCCTTCCTGCAGTACGCCGTGGCCCACCTGTTGCACCACCTCCTCTCGCCGACACCCTTCCGCTACTTCCTCCCGCAGCGCGAGGTCCTGGCTGTGTTTGGCGCGCACGGGTTCCGGCTGTGGAAGCGCTGGACCCTGTTGCTGGACGTGTCCGACGCGGATGGGATTATTGCTTTGCACACCGACACCGCTGCCGCCAGTACATCTCCTAGTGCTGCTGGTGGTGGTGGGTTGATGGGAGTTGGGATAGGGATGGGAGGCAACAGAAGGGTCGCGGCGCTGCTGAGCCCGGTTTATGGCGCCCGGTTTCGGTTGGAGAGGGTTCTTAGGAAACTGGAGAGGTCGGCGGCGGCTATGGACTCGGAGGGGGCGAAGGGACGCGCGGGGGCTGCGTCGGGTAGGCCGGGTTGTAAGTTTGGTGCTGGCGAGGGGGTGGTTTTGGAAAGGAAGGATCTGAGGTTGCCCGCTCATGAGGGGGTCGGGTTGGGAGTGGTGAGTCCTGTGAAAGAGAGGCGAGGAAGCGGTAGTACGACGGGCGGACGGAGCCGTGTGCGGTATCGAGACTTTGGGGAAGTGCTGGGTGTTGGGGTGGCTGTGTAACCATTGTGCTGGTGGAGATGGGGCTTTGTGAACCGCCGCTCGTCGTCCTTTGTTTGGCGGAGGGAGAGCTTCCCATGGCTGTGATGGAAATTAGTCCATCAGAATGGGCAGCTATATACCGGTAACTAAAGCGTCAGCGGGCGATGTAATGTATGTACGTATGTAAGCAAATGCCAAAAAAGGGTGCTTGATTGAGGAGTCGAACCCAAAAAGAGAGGCAGGCGTTCGAGCCCGGGCAGCAGTCTGGGACAGTACCACTCGTCGACCAGAGGCTATCTAGGAATTTTCTCAACGCCCATACTGGAACCGCTACACCATAACGCCATTGAAAGTGTAGTGGTTCCTGTTGAAGACCTGTTCACTTAAACTAACTTATATACCCCTGGCGCTGTCCACCGCCTGCCACATTAATACCAGCACTTCGGCCCCACACTTCCGCTTGATTACATATAAGGCGAGTCATCGCATGCCATGACAGCTTTCCACGACTGCGCTCGAATAATGGGAAGGATTAGGTATTGTAAACTCCCCTCCTCGAAGACGACGCGAGCCCCTGAATGTGTCGCACTACTAACCCCAACCCTTGCTCCAGGATGCCCGGCGGTCAGAAATGGCAGAATAGCTTATCGGATCTTATCGAGACTTCACTGGTGTCTGCAGACAGTGCAGAGACGCAAAGGTTCGCATTCCGCGCCAATTTTCGATGAGAATCCCTTGATGGTTGCGGCGATCCTCCCTTTTTGCGCCGGGTCCCTGTCCATATGTTGCCATCCCGCCACAATGTTCGAGCATTACTCCCAAAGATCGCAGAAGCTTCCGTCTTCGTGCAGGCAAAGAGAAGTCTCGGCTCTAGGGCCCCGAAAATTTCACCAGCCATTCTGGCCGCCGAACACAAGATAGCAAAGGATCTGCTCGACACCAATGTCTGGACATGGACGCCTAGCAAGGGAAAGCCGCCGAAAATGGACCGCAGCCGGGTCAACATTGTCAGCGATAAGTTGTGCGACGACGCGTTAAACTACATCAAACCGACCCTGGAACGCCACAAAGGGTGCGATATCATCGATGTCTTCCCAGGCACCGGCCTTTGGAGCCAAAAACTAAACGATATGCTCCAGCCACGCTCTCATCTCCTGCTCGAGCCCGATATGGATTTCTACCAGCCCTGGCTCCAACCTTTATTAGAACGGCCCGGCACCCAGCTGCTACCCAAGAACGGCATCGTTTGGGACGAGCTCGCTGAGGTTCTCACCCCAGAATGCCTGCCGCACCAGGTCGAGAGGAGATACAAACCGTCCGAAACCCCCGAGCGCAACGACACCCTGCTCGTTACGGTTAACCTATCTCTCTTTCCGAAAAAAAAGTTCCGCAGCTTCGGGAGCGTCTCGCAGCTCGTGCTGTTCCAGCTCCTGTCTACAATCCGCCCCGGAGCGCTTTTTCAGAAATATGGCTTGGTGCGAATGCTGATTTGGGTTGTTGACGACGAAAAGCAAGCCATCCTGCCGCGAATGGTCCAACGACGGACCAGGGTGGCCGTCGAGGCCGACATAGCAACCGAGTGGACCTGTGAGATTGCCGGCGCCGAGGCGTCGCAGTGGTATCTCCGCGACGTGAACATCGACGCCGAGAGCATGGGCAGGACCCTCCAGCGCATGCGCGAGAGCGGGCTCGTCATGCCGCCGGGGCGAAAGTCACAGGCTATGAAGGATTTTGCCCTGTCTGGGGGCGAGCAGGTGATTGCTGGCCAGCAAGGGTCTCGGCTGCTCCGGAGTTACCAGGTGCAGAGAAATGAGCTCGTGGCAAAGATTGCCAAAGGGGAGCTTGATGAAAAGGCGAATGCGAAGCGGCTCAAATCGCTCGACACTCTTGTGCGGGCGTTCGACAAGCGCGACGCACAAGTCGACGAGATGATGGCACTGCGCGCCAGGGCCATCGAGATATACAGCAAGGCGGGCTCGGACGAGGCGCAGCTGGCCGAGGCGGCGCGGTTGATAGAAGAGATGGAGGCCGGCGTCATGGCGTTTGAAAAACTCCTCCGCACCGAGTTCGTGAAAGTACGCGACAATCTGCACGCCATCCGCCAAGACCCGCCGCTGCTCGCATGGGACCGCCGCTACGTCGAGCCGTTGGCCGTCCAGCCGACCGAGTTCTTCCCCAACGTGCCCTGCGCGCTGCTCGACATCCAGCCCCGGGCGGTCCCCTCGGCGCTGCGCGAGATGGGGCCCAACTCGACCCGCAGCGGCGACATGTTTGAGCTGATCCTGCGCGGCCTGCTGCACCAGCCAACCAGCCCCATCAGCAAGGCACTCGAGTACACCTTCCCGGGCGCCTACGAGGCCCTGCTCCCCAACTGCCCGTCGCTGCGGGATCCCAAGCTGGGCGGCTCGCCCTTTGACGGGTACGGCGGCATCTCGACGAGGGTCCTGAACGCGCGCCAGCTCGCCGAGATCGTCGAGGCGTGGGCCCAGTGGCCTTTCAAACCTAGCTACCGGGAACTCGTGGCCAGGGCGGTGGACGACGGCGACGTTACGGTTCCTGAGGATAAGGACCCGTTCCAGGCCGGCTGACATGGGGCGCAAAAGCATTAGATGGATATCGAGCTTAGCTGGGTTCGCAGTGTGTCAGGGTATCACTCTCAGATCATCAGTCATTGTATTTTTACTGTATTGTACAACGACATCCGCTGTCCAGCAGGTTTGCACAAGAGCACGGCGCATGTAACTTGATAGACAGCATCTGGCGTATTGTCTTGTACTATGTAGAGATCTGTACCAAGTGTATTGTATGTTAGAAGCATATACGGATACTTCTGTCGAGTTTTCCATTCAACCGGCATCTTGGCAGGCCTGAACATTCCGTTGTTTGGGCTCGTAGGCGTTGGGCTTGGAACCTTCCAGAGCCCTTACCGTAGTTCCAGTGACATTTCTCCTATGTTTCGCAGTTCACTTTGATGTCCTATTGCCAGGTACTCCGGGTACCTGTGCATCGTACTCAATGTAATAAGGTACGTCCGTATCTGTAGCGTTCTGCGATGGAGTTGCAGTGCCGTATGGATACAGTCAAATTACGCTACTTTACGAGGTAACATACGTCTAAGGTCGGTACAGTAGTAACGTTAAGCGCCCGCTGCTGCAGGTGTCAAACTGTCAATGCAGGCAGAGATTGGGGGATCAACCAACTGCAGGAAAAGAAAACCGTGGGTAAGCATCCTGCACTCCATCCTGCCATGGTCGTGCCGTCTCGAAGCCATCGCGTGGCCAGAATTTCAGCTCATCTGTGGTACGCCCTAACCCAATACGAAGTACGAAACTACGTACTACGGAGCACTTCGTACTAAGTTCCCCTTTTTAACGCTAATGTTAGCCCTGGGCGCAGGGTTGTTTGCACATCTCTCCCTGCCAGCCCTGACTCGTTTAGCCCAGCGTAGGGTGGCTGCTTAGTACAGTATGCATGGCGATGCGAGAGAATTGTTTTCCTACTTCTCTTGTGAGTCGACCTGCCTACGAGATACCTACAGCTACACATCTCTTGTGGGCGATTTATCTGGTTTTTCTGGTCGAAAGCACGCGCAAAAGCCCATATTGGCGGAATGATCGCCTGCTAGGTGCTCCACCAAATCCGCGTATGTACACGCCATCTCGACATTGATCATTCCCCCCCGACGATCCAGCCCGGGGGCTCGACTCGATCCTTCCGCCGCGATCCTTCCGCCTCCTCTTCGAGATGAGTGTATAGCATTATGGCGTTCCCCCGACGACCTTCGGCTGCCTTGCGCTATGTAATCCCAGCATTCCTATTCGCCTTCTGTTTCTGGTTGCTGGCCTCGCCCAGCGACCTCACTTCAGGCGTCAGCTCTATCGCGAGCCCATGGAGGAGCAAGCAAAGCCCAGGCAAACATCCCATTGACCGCCTGATTGAAGCCGCCGAGAAGGATTTCGCCGAGAAGCTCTCGAAAACGTCCCGAACACTCTCCGAAGCCGCTGCCCGTTACCGAGAACGGCGGGGCCGACATCCCCCGCCTGGGTTCGACAGGTGGTACCAATTCGCGAGGGAGAAGGATGCGCTGATCGTCGAAGACTTCTGGGACCAAATCTACCACGACATTGAGCCGTTCTGGGCGCTCAAACCGGCCCGCATACGCAAGGATGCCTGGGATTTTGAGATGCGCATCAGCATCCGCGACGGCAAGGCGTCGTCAGGGAGCGACTGGTTCTGGACCACCATTTGGTTGGACCTGATCGGCACCATTGAACACATGTTGCCGGATATGGATCTTGCGCTGAACGCAATGGACGAGCCGCGGTTGGTGGTTCCATGGGAGGATATCAATGGGTACATGAAGAAGGCGGCTAAGACGAGGAGAATGGCGGACGCTAAAAGCGTGGTATCGGAGTTTGAAAAGCTAGCGGCGCCGGGTCAAGGGCTAGACCAACATGAAAAGACACCCGAGAAGCAGTGGGAAGGCGAAAGTACGAATTCTTCGTCCGTTCCTCCTAGTCGGGATACAGACTTTGCGCTAACAACCGTCATCTGCAGAACACTACTGGCTCATTGCCCGTCGCGGCTGCGCACCCAGCAGCCCGGCGCGCAAAGCTGCTGTCATCACCGATTTCGACACAACGCCTCTGATCAAAAGCAGCTTCGCACTCAAGCACATGCGCGACGGTTTCGTCGCCAACTACACACTGAGCACCGACTTCTGCCATCAGCCGGATCAGCAAGGTCTAGAAGGCATCTTTGTCGAGCCCTTGAGCGTCTCGGCCACCAAGGTTCTCTTCCCCATGTTCGGCGGCTCCAAGCTCGCCGTCAACAACGAGATCCTGCTCCCTGCGCCAATGTACTGGAAAGAGGAAGAACGCTTCATGGGCAGCGAAGGCGCCGACATACCCTGGTCCGACAAGGAAGACATGGCCATCTGGCGCGGGGTGGCTACGGGCGGGCACAACCGGGAGCACACGTGGCGGGCCTTCCAGCGGCACCGATTCGTGGCCATGAACAACGCGACGCAGCTTGCCCTGGCGGAGAACGGCACCAGCGCGCCGCCCAACTTTGGCCTCCCGCCCAAAGAGTACCGCCTCGCGGCGCGGCGCCACAGCCGCCTCGCAGACTGGGTCGGTTCCTGGTCGTCCGTCGCGCTAACAGACCTTATGTGCGACTACGAAGACCATGAGCCAAACCAGTGCAATTACACAAGCCCTTACTTCTCCGTTGTCCCCGGCATGCCCATGGCCGAACAGTTCCACTACAAGTACCTGCCCGACATTGACGGCAACAGCTTCAGCGGCCGGTACCTCGGCTTTCTCCGGTCTACGAGCCTCCCCGTCAAGGCGACGCTGTGGCGTGAGTGGCACGACAGCAGGCTCATTGCCTGGAAGCACTTTGTGCCCATGGATACCCGGTTCGGGGACTGGTATGGGATTATGGAGTACTTTTTGGGCGACCAGATGAGCGGCATCCCGGCGCACGACGAGGCGGCTGAGAGGATCGCGCTGGCGGGCAAGGAGTGGGCAGCAAGGGTGCTGAGGAAGGAGGACATGCAGGTGTATGTGCTCAGGTTGTTGCTTGAGTACGCCAGGGTGTCGGATGATAGACGGGAGAGCATGGGCTGGGTGGGGGATTTGCTCAAAGGGGAGACATGATGCTGAGCGGGTTCAGAAAGGACTGCCTGAACACTGCTGCGCTCAGCGCTGCCTTGGCCATGAGCTTGTTGAAGATTGCTACGGTGCCAACGGCTGCCGTTGTGCCTGATAAGGCAATGGTTGACGGGATGTTCTGCCCAAGAGCCTGGGTCCAGGATATTGTCCGCCTTCCCTCCTGTTCAAGGCACTGAACATTGATTGTGGAATCATGGCGTTTGAGGTCGGGGGAGTGGATGACTCTCTGGTTTTAGCTGCCGGATTTTAGAGATGACCCTGGGGAAAGATTTGGGGGAGTCCAGCGGGTGTAACCACTTGTAATTTAGCTGTCGACCGTGGCGGTTACTCCTTTTTGGATTGTACACTAAATTAACGTCACCTGAATACATGTAATACCTAGCGTTCACAACCCCGAAGCAGACAGATTCAGTCCGTTTCGGCATTCAATGGCCTCGATGTAGTTCTACCACAAACGCTGGGCTCGTGACACTGGCAAGTGGACAGAACATGGAAGAACGCCGAGTCTTTGCTAAGCGCTGCCCCAATCTCTTACCTAAGAAGGGGATCTCGTGGCCATGGTCCCGCGGCGACTCGGACGGCCTCCAGCGGTGAGCGGGTTCGGGCTGACGTGGAAACACGGCGAGTGGGCCGGGTCTTTCCGGGGGTATCCGCTCCTGGCAAAGGTCCTGCCATTAACTGCAATCGCACTTATAACTTAACGGCAATCGGGTCCGACGCCAGGTTTCAATGCCAAATCTCTGCCGTTCCAATCCCCGGTACAGACGGTAAAATTGAGGGATTATCGGCATGAGAAACCCAAGGATCCGAGGGAGAGAAAAGGACCGAGGGCACGGTGGAACCCAAACGCTGAGAGAAATCAGAGAGATCTTATCTCCTTCATCAGTTCTCCACTTGAATCGAGGTTTTATAAAGAGGCTTCCATTGCCCTTTCCCCAGACCGTATCTGGTGATTTCCTTGACCAACAGATCCTTTGTAACCAAGTTTATCGCCCGCTCGGCCCCTACATTTGCTTCGCATCTAGACTAAGACAGTGTCAACCCCTCCAACCCATTATCTTATCGCTGTGTCATCCTCTCGGTGGCTCAGCTCAACGGCTTCAAACGCAGGTAGGTTTTGGCTCTAATTATGGTTGGCTCTCGCGTCCACTCAGCGCCGCTTTTGGCAGTGGCTGTAAAAGGCCAAGGCTAAAACCCCACCATCTGACCTGGAAGCCGTCAAGGCTGTCAAGGTTTCTGCCCCTCCATTCCCACTTTCCTAGGCCATCGCGTCACCGCGCAGGGTCCCGCGCCGGTCCAGGGCCGGCCCTGCTGGCCATGTGCGCAAGATCTGGGCTTATCTTTGCCATTGTGCTTTGATATCGGCTTATATCTCTGCTTTGTTTCACTTACTCATACTTTTTCCAACATTCCAGGTTGATCCTGACAGCCCACAGGACCTGAGCAGCTGCGAGTGCTGAGTATCCTCCCTTCACCGATAGCCCTCCCACCGACGCCATCCTCTCCCTGTTTTCGATTGCATTCTCGATACCAGTCTGTATATTCCATGTCTCCCTCCCGCATTGGCGACTACAACGACAGCGACGGCCCACGATCCAACCGGACGAGTGGCGCGCTCCGAGACAGCCCATCGCCTACCTCAAGCAACCGGTCAAACCACTTTGGCAAGATGAACACATCTTTAGTCCAGTCAAAATTCCTCTCCCACCCGGAGGATCTGGGTATCGTGGCAGTGGGATTCTCCGGCGGGCAGGTACGTCGCATACCTCCCACTACCCCTAATCGCTCCGCCCGGTCGCATTCCTTCTAACCACCCAGCAAACAGGGCAAAGCCGGGGTTGATGGCGGGCCCGCAGCCCTCATCGAGTCGGGCCTGCTCGACCAGATCCGCGACGAGCTAGGGTACAACATGTACGGGCACGACGCGGTGCACACATACAAGGATTTTGTCCCCGCGCACGACCCGCCGTTCCGCAACATGAAGAACCCGCGCGCCGTGTCGGCCGTGACGCGCCGCATCGCCGAGCAGGTGCACTCGCACGCCAAGGAGGGCAGGCTGGTCCTGACGCTGGGCGGCGACCACAGCATCGCCATCGGCACCATCGCGGGGACGGCCAAGGCGGTGCGCGAGCGCCTCGGCCGCGAGATGGCCGTCATCTGGGTCGACGCGCACGCCGACATCAACACGCCTGAGACCAGCGGCAGCGGGAACATCCACGGCATGCCCGTCAGCTTCCTGACGGGCCTGGCCAGGGAGGACAATGAGGATTATTTTGGGTGGTTGGAGGACGAGCACCGCATTAGCGTCAGGAAGCTGGTGTACATCGGGTTGCGCGACGTCGACGCCGGCGAGAAGCGCATCCTGCGCGAGAACGGGATCAAGGCGTTCAGCATGTATGATATCGACAAGTGAGTCTTCCTGGGCGGGAACCCCATTCCTTGGAGTATGGCTAAGGCTGACTGACCGCTCATTCAAACCAGGCATGGCATCGGCCGCGTCATGGAGATGGCGCTCGCGCACATCGGCAGCGACACCCCGATCCACCTGTCGTTTGATGTGGACGCTCTAGACCCCATGTGGGCGCCGTCCACGGGCACTCCAGTGCGCGGTGGTCTGACGCTTCGCGAGGGTGACTACATCTGCGAGTGCGTGCACGAGACGGGCAGCCTAGTCGCCGTCGACCTAGTCGAGGTGAACCCGAGTCTCGCTACGAACGAGCTCCAAGCCCAAGAAACGGTGCGTGCAGGGTGCTCCATAGTGAGGTGTGCACTCGGCGAGAGCTTGTTATAATGCAGCGCACCGGATGGAGGGATACAAGAGGAGAAGAGAGGACGGAGAAGCGACAGCGGTTGGCTAGGTTCTTATCTTGCTGGGTAGAAGCATCGTCAGGGGGTTGACTCGATCGGTTCAGTTCCCCTTTTGTGTCACAAATCCCAGGCCTTAAACTCCTTACCACCTAAGCAGCTTAACTAGTGTATATAGGATACAGGGTATAGAATAGGGTTGTTGTTACTCCTCTGTGACCAACAAGCATTGTCCTTTCACCCTTGATTGAGATTAAATTCTGCGGAGTCGTGGGCGGTCCCTTGCAGAAAGTACCATTTCAATGGGCGGTTTGAACGCATCATGCTTCATGTGGGATCTCCTGCCACCGGCAGTCTTGGCATCTGCCCAACCGCCCAGCCACCAATTCGGAAACTCATAGCGTCTCCACACTCCGTGCAGGCCCGAAGCCTATCCAGGCACAACGAACGTTCTGGAGATGGATGCACGTCTGATGAGCTGTCATCAATTGCTTGTCCCGTTTAGTATCGCAATGCTTGTCCCGTTGGAACCCAATTCTACCCGATCAACCGAGACAAACTCACAGTAGATTTAAAGTTCTGTCCCGCTTGGATTACGATCTCGAGTCCGATCTGGCAGCCTGTTCCATTGATCAATCGCACCTGGGGAACCAGCTCAAGACAGGGAAGAACCGAAGAAGGCCCCTGTCCCCCACGGCTGTCAACCCAACCAGGAGCCAAGAGAGCTTGTGCCAAGATCTCTTGGCTCCCGAGAAACGCCCAAGACAAACGGCCGGCGCGGCGCGGCACAGAAGTTACAGAACACAAGCCCTCAAGGAACCAGCCTTGGGCTTCGGTCGCATCGGATCGCATCTTGTCGCAATCCCCGTCGCTCGCTTTTCCCTGAGGTCACGTTGCTCTCTTTTTTCCCGTTCCATCGTGCGCGGTCAGGTTTTACCAGATCCAAACTCCTACGATACACCGATCGTTCTCCCGAATCCCAGCCACGCGCAAATCGAGACCGGCCGATCTCGCCAAGTGGGGCATCCAATTGATTGCCGATTCTCCCAGGCGCGCACACGTTCGGATCAATTCCCCAGCCAACCTCCTAACAAAGCTCCACCGCGACGTGGCACCCGTTCGTGCGCACTTCCCCTGCGACGAGGGCGCTTTCCCTCACCGCTAGAGATTGCGCTGAGATCTTAGCGGAGGTGGTCTGGATAACTGCCCTGGGCCAGAGGGGCTTTGTTGGGGGTTCCGGAGGGATCATAAACAACGGCTCTGTGTTGCGCTTCCAGCAGCGACTCCCGGCTGCGTGCGATTGCAATTGCGGCTCGAGGCAAACGAGGCAGCACTAACGATCGGCGAGGGGAGCTGCCGGCGGGGAATTTGTTCGACACAAAAAAAAAAAAAAAAAGAGCGCAAGACCAAATTGAGCCATTTGACGCGACGACCCGATCGCCAGGCGCACACACACCTTGGACCGAGCGAGGGCTTGCGCCCGGGAATGAAACGGCGCCGGAGCCCGGGGCCAAAACCGAAGCTCAACACCTTCATATCCGCCATTCAACGGCCAGCGACACTGAGCACTCACGAACTGCGATGGCGTCTACGGTCACGAGCGGCTCGCTCGTCTACGAGCGCCACGTCGTCGAGCGCGTGCACAAATACCACTGGCCCGCGGTCCAGCTCAACATCTGGATGCTCATCATGCTCATCGCCGCCTGCACCATCATTGGAGTTTTTGGGACGTTTATCCAGATCCAACAAACCCTCCTACTCCCAATTCCATGGTGCGTCCCTTTTTTTGCCCCCATTTTCCCGCCTGTAAACCAAGCCAAGACTAACCGGGAAAAAAAATCACAGGTACTTCCCCTACTACATAACCGTGTCCGCCCTCGCCGTGTCCTTCATCCTGCTGCTGCTCTGGCTCATCTTCCAGCGGCGGCTGCTGCCGAGCATCGTCATGATAGGGGGGTTCATCCTGTTTGTCCTGTGGCTGGTCGGGCTGATCGTCATATCGATCCAGCTGTGGGGGCCCACGGGCAGCGTCAGCTCCAACTGTAACCTTTACGTCTTTGGGGCCAACCCGCAGCCGATGGGCCAGAGCCTTGAGACACTCGCCTGGCTGCAGCAGAAAAGCATATGCCAGAGCTGGCAGGCAGTGTTTGCCTTTGGCTTGGTCGGGGCCATTTTCTTGCTGTGGATCATGGTTATGGCTTATCAAGTCTTTGCGGACGACAGGTATTGACCATACGGGTGGGCGGTAACGAGGTTGTGTTTATTTCTTTTGTTCTTTTTTGGATATGTTCCCTCTGATACCTGGTTAGGGGTTGGCTGTTTACGAGTGGATGATCGGACGTAGGGCTGGCCAAGGCTGAGCCTGTCCGGGAGCTGGTTCATGTTTCCTGTTTGTATGTCTGCATCGATAGACGGAGTTGGAGCTCAAGGGCGCATTCTTGTCAGCGATTTGGATTTCGTCAGGCCTTGGGTGTTTGGCGGGGGGGTTCCTTAATGCTCTGTAACATGTATGCTGGAAGTTGAAGCAATTGGAGCCTCATGGGACGACAAGAGCAAATCGATATATGAACAGCGGCACATCCGAATCCGGATGGATTCAGTCGGGTGGCCGTCGAAAGTCTGAACAAGGTGAACAACAATCTGTATTCGACGATCTACAGTTGTCCACGCCTCGATGCTACGTGAATGTCAGCTCTTCGTTAGAGGGAAACTGGAAAGCAGTGAAAAATAGAAAACAAAACGATAGCGAAGCAAGAGAGATATAAAAACGAGAGAAGAAGCCTGAGATGGCAACACTTAACAATGTACGGAACTGCGGATAATGCAAAAAGGGAAGGGCGGCAGGGGGGGAACAGCGCCAAGCAATCGTACCACGTGTTGTCTGTAACCTTAATTCGACCCTATGAGCTCAATGCGTTCACCGCCAAGTCACTGAAATCATCCAAGTTCTTCTTCACGCTCTATGTCTTCCCCTTTTGAGCTTTGTAGTGAGTGAAATGGCGCCCAACCTTACCCATAAGGAGATCAATGATGTCTTGTACTTAGCTCGCATGCGTGACAAGCTCCCATTCCATAAGCTCACAACCCTGCTCTCGACTCTTTCCGGGTTTGAAAACACAACGCCCGCGGATTTCCTCGCCCTTGCAAAGGAGTTCGGTGCGATGCTTCTGACCCCAGATCGGCTTGAGAAATATGGCTCTCATACGCTGAGTATCGTCGACTATACCTTGGACGATGCCCATCTCGAAACTCGGTGTCCCCTTGACAATGGGCGGCACAACGGTCAACCCAAGCATTCAGTGGGCAGGCTGGACTTGCTCCCCTACGAACTCATCTCCCAGGTTCTCCTGGCGCTGGATCTACCGTCCAGAACTGCTTTCCGGCGTGTGAATCGCCGGGCCATGGGTCTCGTCGATTCGCTACACGAGTACCAGATGGTCCTCAAGCATTGCCCCAATATCCTCCGCGCCATCATCAGCATCAATGCCAAGCACTTTGACTTGGCGACCTTGTACAGAACTCTCTGCACCACCAAGTGCGCAGCCTGCAACGGATCATTCGGTAGTTATCTCTACCTCATCACCTGCAAACGAGTCTGCTACAGTTGTTTCACCGAAAAGTCTGCATACTTGCCCGTGTCCGCCATGCTGGACATAAGGAACACTAGTCTCAGCAGGGACGACTTGAAATCTCTGCCTCATATCTTCAGCCTGCCGGGATATTACACGAAGAGCAAGAACTTGGCAAGGGGCAGGACAATGCTAGTGGACCTCCAGTCCATGAACAAGAGGGCTTCGGAGATCCGTGGCACTAAAGTATTCATCCGCGTGTCCACGCAATGCGCCACTACAGACGAGAATCGACGGCATATGGCAATTATTTCCGCGCCCTACTTCAGCTCGTCAGGTCGCTCGGCCCACTGGGGTTTCTATTGCGCCAAATGTAATGAGGATAAGGAGGAATCGATGCTTGACAGGTCTAAATACACAGAAAAAGAGTTTGCAAATCACATGGCAGAGTACGGGATTGATCCGCATGAAGATCCGTATAAAGATCCGCATGAAGATCCGGATGAAGTAGAGTGGTAAATCTGTATGAAATGTGGATACCTACCTCTCTGGTATTCCCCAAGTCCTTGATACAAGTCGTGGCACCGGTCCATGAATTAATAAACAGCTTGGTTCCAGATCGATTTCGCGCGTAGGCACTGTCAGTGATTGTTCGGATGAAACATGGTGAATGAGACGCGTTCAGCCAAAGAAGCGTCCTAATCTTTAAAATACGCGCTGCGCAAAACCCCACCAACGCGTGATCTTTCGCTACTTTTCTGAGTTTTCTCTCCTACTCTTTCACTTCGTAAGCCTTCCACCACAATTCGTGCTTCGATCGATAACTTTCCTATCATTCTTCATCGAAATGTTCAACCGAAAACCTCATTAATCATCATGGCAACGGGTAACAGCTCATTCACTCAGAATTCGTCGTGCGCCCATGGCACAGATGCTCACGGAGGAAATGGCCAACGGTTATCTTGAAGCGGGCTACGGCCTGCAGCTTGTGGCCAACTACTGGATCGAAAAGGCCCAAATGGGCAAAGAGAACTTGGAGCTTGCGGGCAAAGCCCTCCAGAAGATCCGAGCGATGCAGGCTGCTCGCATGCTCGTTGACATGGTCAGCGTTGACTCCCCCAAGAAGACGGTTGCCGAGACCGGCGCTTCTACCATCAACGGCGTCACCCCAACTGCGGCGGACATCAAATTGATCTATGCCCTGATTACGAGCTTCAACTCGAAGCCCGATGTTGACTGTAGGTACACACTTGGCAACCTGCTACTTATCTTACCCATTAGATATGTCTACTATATTCTCTTGCCCTACTAAGGGAGCTACTAGTACTGTCAAGCGTTGCCAAGAAGACAACGAGAATTGAAATAAAGATAACTAACACTTATATTAGGGGACAACGTTACTACCGCCACTAGTAGTAATAGTGCGAAGAGTTAAGCGGACGGGCCACATCTCGTCGGTCCGCGGTCTGGCCAGGTCTCAGGGGATACTTTGTTGTTCGGTGAAGGAACCTTGGAAGGTATGAACACATCAACTTCGGCTCAGACGACGCTGGCTACGGCCCCGTCGGCACTGGCGCATCATGCAGAAGAAGTTCAACATCAACTTCTGGTCCGCGGCCTGGCCAGGTCTCAGGGAATACTTTGTTGTTCGGTGAAGGAAGGTGTTAACACATCAACTTCGGCTCAGAGCAAGGCAACGGCCCCGTCGACACTGGCGCACCATGCAGAAGAAGTTCAACATCAACTTCTGGTGCGCGGTTGGCCAGGTCTCAGGGGATACTTTGTTGTTTGGTGAAGGAAGGTGTTAACACATCAACTTCGGCTCGGACGACGCTGGCAACGGCACAGTCGGCAGCGGTCCTCCCGCCCGCAAGGGCAAGAAGGTCACCCTACCCCAGTGAAAGATAGCTCGCCAACTTTGGTGATCCGAAAGGTTGGTAGAATCTTTGCTACTCATATCAACGAACCGAAACTGTACTGAGACTAACTTCACAACTTCGGCAAAGGTGGTATTTTTCGACGTGGGAGCTGCTTAGCACTTCTTTTCCGGACCGGGCCAGAACCTCGACGAATACAAATACACAGCGAGCAACCACAGCGCCAAACCATTCGTCAGAGCCATCGAAGCCGGCACTTTCGTCCCATTTGACGGATTTAGGCCAGCCTCGTGGCTATGGCTTTGTCCGCTTCAGCGATGAATCGGACCAGCAGCGTGCCCTGGTTGAGGAGAGGGGATGGCTGTCTGAGCTCAAAGGAGACACAATCAGCTTCCTTGATTTCAGTGCTGGGAGAGGGGAAGGCTCCTCGTCTCCCTTTTCCAATCACACTTTCCTTGCTGCAAGTCAGCCAAAATCATGACGGATGTGGGGAGTTCTGGTTTGTCAAAGACTGGACTCAACGTCTAGGAGGACACCAGCACTCGATTCAGAAACTACTTCTTGGAGAACCCTTGTCGGGACAATCACGAGCGGAGTTCATAACTGCACCTTTGCTGTGGCCTGTGTGTTTGGCCTGAAGGCAGGTCAGGCTCTCAGGTTGCTGTCAGCTGGCCTCGCAGCACAGGGTTTCGGCATGATGATGGCCATCTTCTTTTACAGAACCCTATGGCTTTGTCCGCTTCAGCGACGAATTGGACCAGCAGCGTGCCCTGGTTGAGGAGAGCGGATGGCTGTACTTATCGATTATGAGAGCGCAAAGAAGTGCACAGATAGGAAAATCTCTCCCAGCAAGGGATCATGATGCGGATTCGTCCGATTCGTGCATCGCCAAAGTTGCGGAGATGGCAATCAATCAATGCAGGGAGTGGTAGGTCTCCATACTCTCTCAAACCAAGGGGGTTGCTAACCACTTCAAATTAGACAGATACTACTGGGTAGAGATGTATCTTGCGTACTCATTTGGGGAAGTCTTTGGTGACAACTTGAATGATATGTTGGATGAGCAACACAAACACCGTCCAAAGAAGCATGGCCGAACAGGTAATAGCCATGGTCGTGCCGCTGGTACTGGCAACGCTGGTGGTGTGGCGGCATGCCTTCGCATGGCGGCCCTGGTAGACCGAAGCTGGAAAACAGAGTGTGAAGGCACATGGCACTTGCTGTGTGATTCTGCGTTGCTGGTATGATCCTTGCTTATCGCTTCAAGCTGCCCCGGTCACGTCCTAAGTTGGCTTATTGTTCTTCTTTAGCTCTTTTAGAAAGTCAAGCCATGGGTCAGGAATCTACGGATGTAGAGCCAGAAGATCCTCAGCGTGGCCATTGAGAATTTCCAGATGGTCTTTTGAATTTCGAATTACTCCAGCAATACATGCGATCAGCACCGAAGACACGGGATGAATAACTTAGGATAGCGGGCATCGGGAATGGATAGAAAGCCGGACTTACCCGGATAGGGATAGAGGGGGGTTGACGAATGTCGAATGGAAGTTTTACCCCTTTATTTTGTCCAAGCCGATGCAGTATTCCAGCCCTCAACGCACCACTTAAACGCATTGAACGCGGTGTCAAGCCTTCAATCATTCAGATTGTTAGCTACTCACAGGGAAAGCACCTGCAGTTCCTTCCATTCAAAAAGGCTACATACGTTACGGTTCCTTGCCACTATAGGAAAGAGCTGCCAGCAAACACCTTCCAAACTTGAGCTCTTAACCCAAATGAGCTGCTTACCTATTTTGAATTAGGCGTTTACACTTTGCTCTAGACCATTTGTCTATGGCAGTGGAAGTTCTCCAGTCCACCTGCCCAAAGCATCGTGTAAAATACGAAGGCGCTTCCATTTTTCTATGAGCCTTTCCAATGCATCTCATCTCGAGTAAGATGTACACACTCTTAAGCACCTGGCTGTGCAATCCTTTTGCCCTTCCCACCCTCATTGTAAAAGTTGTATCCATTTTTCGCGGATTGGGAGAGACAGCAGCTGGTTCTACGCTCCAGTCTCTCGGTCTCTCCCAGTTTCCTTTCGCAAAGCAGACGGCGACTGCCACTCGCATTACGATGACCACCCCCAGGCACAGTGTATCCGACCAGAAGGTACTACCGAATGTTGGGAAGTGCGAGATGTATTCTCAGGATTCGTGCATCTGCCTTGGGGCACCCATCTTCTGCCAATGCCCTAGCACACAACCATGCACGGGCACCCGTGGAAGAAACAAATTCTTTTGTGATTCATGTGTGAGCACACCTGATTTTTGGTTCTTGTCATCTTGCGCCTTACCTACACGCCCGACCTTTGAGAGCCTGCAAGCTCTTTGGATGCTAATGATGCGTATCCAATCCCCAGGTGCTCCACTGCGAGTCTGATAGGGACCACCAAGCAGCTCAGAAGTCGCCGATGGAGCCAGTTGCCGAAGCCCAAACAGAACAACCCAGCGAGCGGGTAGCAAAGTCTCAAGAACTTCCAAAAGACAGCGATTCCACTCCTCAATACCATGGCGATAAGCCCGTTCAGTTGCTCTGCGGATGCGAACGGGGCAATTTCCTTTTTAGAGAACCCTGTCGGGCCCTCTCCGAGTGCGACAAACTGGTCAGGAAACACGATTCATATTGCGATACTTGCCTTGTACGTTCATCTTCCCCCCCGGCCTTGTAGATGTTACCTGCTACAACGTGATTAAGTGCGCTGACTGATGAACCATTTAGGAAAGAATCTGCGAGAAGAGAGAGTATCTCTGCCGATGCTTGTGGAAACCGTCAGACAGAATCTCTCTTCGTTGCTCCGCTGTCAGGTGCCTACAAACCGTCGGCAGCGAGTTGTCCAACTACGGCAAATGTTGCGGTGCATGTAGACTGTGGAATTGTCCTGCGTCTGCTTACATGTACTTAGAAAACTCTCCTGCAACTTCTGCCCGACCTTCGACGCCTACCGATCGCCGCCGCTGAGCATGGCATCAACCGTTGGCATATCCCCTCAAACCTCCTCGGGATGACGAAGATCTCGTCGAGCAAATACCAAAAAGACGGACATAACTGGAGAACCTTCGAGTCAAGGAGTTTTAAGACAACAAAAGAACTCACCCCCTGTTGGCGTGCGCTCCTTCTGGCTGAGGAATCAGTCAAATAGCTTGGGTTAGCTTTGTCCATCGACTCCATCCACAAGCATCGAGTCAGTGGCTGAGTCTCAGAGGTATTCAGAGCAAGCCGAGGCCTAAACCAACCGCGACGGACAAACTGCCACTACACAGGCATATCCAATCACGTCGACATACTGGAATGCTAGTCAAAGCTGGGGCAGTTCGTGCGATTGCCTAATCCACTAGAAGCATCTAAGGTGCCTTAGCTGCAAGTCCGAGTGGTCGCTAGGACAAACCAAGATTTCCGAGCTTTTGATTGCGATTGTAACGGATCAGACACCTTTTTGTCCCTTAATTCAAAAGACTTGCTTCGTCTTCCGGGTTGTCCGGCATCAGAGCCTAATTCCAGTTCCCCATTGAAACACCAAAATGCTGCAGAGTGCAGATACCATCATACTAGTGAATCCAAATGCCGGATGTTGCTGAGTCTCGTAAAGAGGTATCTGGATCAGAACAGGTAGATTCACAGGCAGAGCATCGTAAGAGATCGACTGGACACACCAGCCCGAGGTACTGTTGTACATACAAGTGCACAAGTGGAGTCATCCAATGCAGCTGCCCCCTGACGTCAAGGGTACCGTACCCGTGCGGCTGAGCGGCCAGCCACACGGACCTCATCTGACTTTGCCAACGGTTGCAAACCTCATTGCCAGGGACGCATGACTGTCGTCCTAAAGTGACCGAGGCAAGAAAATCCATCCAGCTGACGCAGGCTCCTGCTCAACCAGTGCGACATTATGAAAATTCAAAAAAGGATGCAAAATAGCATTCTCGCTTGTTATGGATTCATGGAGTGAGATTTCCTGTTCTCCCCAGCAAGATACTGGCTACACTGCTACAGTGGCTAGGTACTGTGCAATGCGTATCGATGCCGGCGATGATGTCATCATCTGGTAAAGCAGCACCCAGCCTGGAGCATTCGTACTGTTCCTGTCCAAGACACTCAGGTAGTCAGGCCCGGATGGCCACAATTCTCCAACTTGAAGACAAGTGTTAGAACGGCGAAACTGAAACGCGACTATAAGGCAGGGAACAGTGAGAGACGTACCGCACATGGCATGCAACGCCCGCACGGGTTGGCACCAACGACTACCCCCTCGCAAATAACGGGGATTTTGCACTCCCAGCCGCCCATCGTGCATCTGCAGTATGGGACGCCCAAGAGGGCGTCGAGTTGATGCCGGACGATTTCGACCTCGACGCTCTCGAGCCTCTCGGCAACCCCGTGGTTGGCCAGCGGCGTGCTGTAAACAGTGCTAACAGCGGGGGATGGTACGGCGCTCACGGTGGCATCCCCATCCACGCTCTCGGGCGCCTCGGCGGCCCCGTGGCCGGCTCCCGGTGTGCTGTCAACAGTGTTAACAGCAGGGGACGGTACGGAGCTGGCGGTGGCACTCCAATCCAGGCTCTCGGGCCTCTCAGTGCCCCCCGGCGTGCTGCCAGCAGTGGCAACAGCAGAGGAGGGTGCGGTGCTAGCTGTGGCATTCGAAATCACGCTCTCAGGCCGCTCCGTGGCCCCACGGTTGCACTGGTTGGCCCCCAACGTGCTGCCTGCAGTGGGGACAGCAGGGGAGAATGCGAAGCCGGCGGTGGCATCCCAGTTCACGTCGTTCGGAAATGACAGTATGATTTCGATTTGGCGATCGATCCTAGACATGGCCGCGGCGCCGACAATATCCGCACCCTCATCGTCAGGTCGTGCCGCATTGCGGGCGGCGGTCGAAGCATTCTCCGGTTGACCCAGCCCTTCGTCAACCTCTCGCTCGGCCCCATCATCATTTCTCGCTTGGGGGACAGAGTCTGAACCGAGATTGGGTTTCGGATTGGACTCGGGATTGGGATTGAAATTGGTATTGGCATTAGCATTTTGAGAAGCGGACTCAGCTGCCTCAGGAGGACACGTGGTTTTCTGCGTGATCCGAGAAGTCAGTACGGTCCCGAGTCCATGGGGATGCATGAGCTCCAGCAGAGGGCTGCTTGGATCCGGGTAAGAAAACGTACGCAGTTCTTGCAATAACCTGCCTCGTCTAAAGGACTTGGAGGCCCAAGGCAGGAAACAGGTGCTTTGCAGGTGCCCCGCTGCGTGGATTCCCGCCTGCATTTGCACTCGCTTCGTCCGGAAGCGCAAGTGACTGACTGATAGAAGGATATAAGAGTCAGTAACAGGAAACGAAGAGCGTAGCTGCGTAAGGGACGGTCGACGCACGCAAGGTCTACAGTAGACAGTGGATGGGGGTTCGACCCTTCCGCTGCAGCGGGCGGCCCGGCAGCCTTTGAACACTGTGCAAAAGCAGTACCTGACCCAGCCACTTCCTTCAGCGGTGGTGGGGGGTTGAGATCCAGGAGGGCAAGAAGTGCTGGGCACGTTGCTGCCTTGACCGAGCTCCATCAGCCAATGAGATTTTCAAAATTGAGAAGCCAGAGAATGAGCAGAGACGAAGAGACGAGAAAGGAGACTTCAGAGGAAATAAATCACGGGTGCCTGCCTCGAATGAAGTACAATCCTTCCGGGTTTGGTCACGCTAATGGAGCCAAAACGCTCTCGTGACTTCCTTACTACAGCAACGGCAACCACGAAAGGGTGCGTTCCATGCTTACTAGTAACTTCCTCCCATTGCAACTGTTGCCGTGTAGGTGATCATGTTTATTCCCTCTTCCACTTGCAATGTCCTGCCAACGACATCATGTGTCCAGAGACTCGAATCCACGCTGTCACAGCACAGGAGGCTGTATTCCACAATCATCCCAATCAGCACTGTGCGCAACATAGCAGTAAACAAGCTGGAAGGCATGAAAACGTCGGTACAAGCGCCCTAAAGGGTTGTCAGCACAAACCTGTTTCTGCCTGGCAGCACCGAGCAGCATATTCGGGCATTGGGCTTAGCTTAAGCCCCAATGTAAGCCCCCATTGACAGCAAACTGAAGTTGCCGAACTCTCATCTATCATGACCTTCTGCTTGAACGCAGGGAGTCCTACACCATTCCCTGGCATGACAGCCACTAACTCATTTAGACAGGGGACTCTTCCTTAGACACTCTTCGCAAGATGCGTCTCCCAAATCGTGTCAAGAGCAAAATCCCCCAAATCCCGGCAAGCGGAATCGCAATAACCCAATACACCCAGAAGAGGCTCAAACCCGCCGAATACTCCCCTCCCATGGAGAAAACAGCCACCACAAACGACAGTGGTATCAAGGCGGTCGGCAACGACGTGAAATATCCAACCTGCTCGCCCCCTTGTTTGCCGCCCTTGGTCTCCCGTACTGGGATGGACTGCGTGTATGCCTGAAGCATAATATCCAGCCCCATCTTCAGATTACTAACAACATCCCCTAGGCTCTTCGGCTCTGCCACACATAGCCCCAATTGTTAACAGTCATCTCTCATTTTGAGCCAATGCCTAATCCGTTCATGTTCCGACGGAGCTCCCAGTCGATGGACACTAACACAGACTTAGAGACGCCCAAAGTCTTGTGGGGGCCAGGGGTGTATCCAAACCTGGCCGAAGAGCTGAGCTGCTGGGACATCGGCCGGTCCGTTTCCCATGCTCAGGGTGAGCTGTTCTTTAACGAATTGAGCTTCTCAAGTTGCGAGCCCTTGCAGCGAGCTATACGTCGTTTTCTTACCTACCAAGCAATCAACCACTGGACCTACTACGACCATTTGCTGGATCATCGCCATCGCTAGTCACGATGTATTCCTACCACCAACCTTCGTCCCGACCTTCGCGCCTGTGGACCGAGGAAGAAGAGATCCGTCGCTTCAAGCAGACTATGGCCGGTCAAGACAACGATATCGGCATTCTCAGCCAGGGAATCGCGAAGAAGAACGACCAAATCGGAACTTTGAACAAGTACATGGCGCAGTTGCGAGCCGAAGTCGACAACCAGAACCTTCGCTAGGAGCCATCGCAAGTTGGTGGCCCGCCCAGTCCGCGAACTTGCCTCAAGTGCGACGAAGTTCTCCCCAGTCGGAATGCCCTCTTCTGTCACTCCTACACAAATTGTTGGCAGCCGTCGTATACCGACAATAGCATCGCCGACGGTAATCGTGAGGGCACGTCGATTTCTTCCTGCCAGGCACCCGGCTTCTCCGCACCTAGCCCGGCCCTGGTGTCAGGAAATACTTCGTCTTCCTGCGCTACGCCTTTCCTAACTTTCACCTCCCCGGGTACTAGTACGTGAAGTCAAGTGGTAGTCGCATAGCCACCGCCCAATATCTCCAACTGAGGCAGTTAGGCCCCAAGTTCGATCCACAGCGAGAACACATGAGCAATTCCAGATGATTCCCTTCCCGGGCAGCCGGGAAACCGTCGGTCATCGGGATGCGAAAAAGCTTTCCGAGCATCCTGATTTCTGGGGACGAGGTGAAAGAGGGTCTTGTCGTCGGGCGCAGGCGTCCCCGGGAACCAAGCTTCTCGGTGCCTAGCGCCCGGCCCTGGCCGCCTGGCGTTACCAGCAATACTTGTCTCCCTGCCGCGCGCCCAGCGAAGGACCTCCAAACCTCTTGCCCAGCGCGCCTGTCTCGTTCCTCCATTCGCAGCAATGGAGAGCGTCGGCAGCGCACCTTCTTTCCTCGAGGAGGACAACCCGACATTGAAGCAGTCGGATTCGATGGCGGCAATCGCCATCCACCAACACCTCCAAGAAATCGAATCGAGCTTTTCCTCGATAATCTGATTCATCTTCTCCCAAATCGCAAGCGCGCCCGCCTCGCTCCCATCACAGCAATGGAGAGCGTCGGCAGCGCTCCTTCTTCCCCAACACCTCCTGCTGCCTTCTCCCCGAACGGGCAGCCAAGCAGTTTTCTGGACAATGGGGAGCGAAAGGAATCGAACTGAGGGCCTCTTTGGTTTGTCGCGGTCACCTTCTCCTTTCACCCAGCCAGCGGGTTCAGGACAACGAGACTGCGGCTGAAAAGGACCACCATGAACATGTACGATACAGTATACCCCATCATTCTCCTTTGCAGGGTGCTGACGCGTCTATGCAGCCTGAATCGACCGCTCAACCGGGCCACGATGAAGAAAGTGACCCGTTCCAAACACCCACAAAACCAACAACTCTTACACATTAAGTCGAGAAAGCGCTGTTTTGGCCGCCGAATTTGGCTGGGCCGTGTCGCCGTTTTCGACAGCCTGAACAGTGAGGGGGCGCCGCGGCGCAGGTCCCCATGAAGTACCCTGAACCTGCCGCCCCGCTGCACTCCCAACAGGGGCCCCGCAGCTCCACCTGTTCCAACACGCTGCAGGCACGCGGCGCCAACCTGCGACAAAGTTGCTGAGGAAATTCGCAACTCTGTTTCCAACACCCTGAATCCAGGATTCTTGGCTCTCGAGGAGCCGTTTTTGGCTCCCACAGCCGGCAGCTTAGATATGGCTTCCTCCTCCCTGCCAGGTTTCTCGAGTCACCGACTCTTGCCGTCGAAATCACAGACCCGACTCACCCCCCCCCCCCCATCTCGCTTCTCTGAACCCTGTTCATCTCTCTTCAGCGGCGCCCTCCAAGTCAACGGCATGGCACCCGTCCGTCCTAGCGGAGGAGCCCGCCACAATTCTGACTTCATCAAACGCTTCACCGAGCAAGAGGCCCAGCGGCGAGAAGCCCAGCGGCGGAAGGTCCCGCTCACGGCCGAGCAGCGTGCAGCGCAGCGCGAAAGGTTGCGACAGAAACGCTTTCTTATGCCCGCGGACGTCGTTTGCACTCAAGTCAACATTGCTGGCGAACTTCGAAAGTGGAAAGGGTAGGTCTTCTTTCTCATCTATCGTCGGAAAGGTCGCTAACTACGAGAGAGATATTGCGATTTCGCGAACCTAGGGCCGTGGGCCGAGGCGATCCGAAAAGCAGACCGTTCGACTGCGATGGACTTCCTCGACCACCTGTGCGAGAAATACAAGATCACTTCGATACTCATCCTCGACCCGCCCACCCGACGCGGCCCACAAGCAAGCGACGGAATTGCCAGACCTGTGGGCAGCCCTCTCCCGGCCGCACCTACTGCTGGTCCTGCTACGTCAAGAAGAGCAAGCTCCAGAATTGCCAGACCTGTGGCCGGCCCTCTTTCGGCAGCACCCTCTGCCGGTCCTGCCAGGCCAAGAAGAGCAAGCTCCAGAATTGCCAGACCTGTGGGCAGCCCTCTCACGGCCACACCTACTGCCGATCCTGCCGGGCCAAGAAGAGCAAGCTCCAGAATTGCCAGACCTGTGGGCAGCCCTCTCACGGCCACACCTACTGCCGATCCTGCCGGGCCAAGAAGAGCAAGCTCCAGAATTGCCAGACCTGTGGGCGGCCCTCTCCCGGCCGCACCTACTGCCGGTCCTGCCGGGCCAAGAAGAGGGAAGCGGAAGCCTGCCAGACTTAGGGAAAAGTGCTAGGCGAGGTAAGGACGTCCTCCAATGTACAATAGTGCGATGGCCAATAGGACTCGCATTCGTTTGGAAAGGTTAGTGTGCGTAGCGAAGAGACGACAACAAAGCCTCCCGTCTCGACAACGCGCCTCCGGTACGAAAAAAGCAAGCATCGATGCCCGAAGTCCATCGGCTAACCGACACAACCGACCCTTCCGGCAGGAAATGGCGTCTGGGACGAAAACCCGCGCAAGCCGCAGACTTGCTGCACACCCGCCCGAGTTTAGCGGAGTTTAAAGCAGGGCGAAGGGTCCATGGTTTGTCGCATAGCGGTCCGATAGTTTTGGGGGAGTAATGGTTTATACTTCGGAGACGCGTTGGTACGGCAGCAGAGCAGGAAGGCAAATCCCAGCGCCAACCAACCATCTCCCCTGGTGCGTTGTTTCCTTTCCAAACTGTTCAATAGACCTTAAGTTGTGTGCCGTCTCTGCTGTCTATGCCATGTCGCCTGCGCCGACTTGTGCCGTCTCGCCATCACGTTGTCGACGCCACTCTGCCGGCCAACGTTCAAACGGCCCACCTCGATCATCCTAATCTGGAAAGTGGCCTGCAATACTGGTGCAGAAGATCGGTCCCCCCACCTTTAAGCAAGTGACCTTGGAGCATCGACCGAACACTCAAAGGTACTTTGTCCGGCCCAAGAACACCCGTTAAAGCACATGCTGAGCGCTTCAAGACCTTCAACCCGCAAAGCAATGCCCGAGCGGCCGGCTCGTCTGCATTGTACAACACGGCTTAAAATCAGTGGACACCGATTGCATGTCGCTCCCGATCACGATAAGCTGAAAGACGAACAACCAAGCGCCCAAAGCCTCGCCGAAACCTCCCAGCGATTCTTATATCGATGATATACTTGGATGAAGGGGATACTTGAGGACGCTCGTAAGGATCCAAGAGTATCAGCTATCGGAGTTTTTGCCACGGCTGGTAACTGTACATAGAGGCTTTGCTGCTCCGAGCCGGTGGGCCACCTCGGGTAGTGGACAAGACGGCACAAAGTCGACGCAGACGACACGGCACAGACAGCAGAGACGGCACACAACTGAAGGAGCGCCATACACAGTAGCCCAGGTTTAGCGCAATCTCTATGGGGTGGTATAAATGTTAGCTTGTTTGCTCCAACAAACTAATCCATTTCCATCTATATATCCAATCTTTTTAGGTTTCTTTTTAACTACGTCTTGATCCTAACCTCTAGTAACTTCTCTAACCCCGGTTTTTTGTTCTCCCTCAAACACAATGGCGAAGTTCAACACCAAGGGAGCAACCGAGAGACGCTCTCCTAACGACCTTAACAAGGACATCAATAAAAGCTGGCTTGACCAGCATCTACAGCAGCCACAAACTCAGGGCAGCAGCCAGTTAAAAACTCAGGGCAGCAGCCAGTTACAACAACCACTACGTCCACAGTACCAGGGCAGCAGCCAGCCAGTGCATTCAGAGGAGCTTCAACATCAAAGCAACCAGCAGCCACAACAGCCACTGCATCCACAGCACCAGGGGAGCCAGAAACCACATCCACGACAACCAGGGCAGGGCAGCCAGCAGTCGCAACAGCCGCTACATTCACAGCGGCCCCAACATCAAGGCAGCCAGAAACCACAACATCCACAACAGCCAAGGCAGCTACAACATCCACGCAGCCACAACATCCACGGCAGCCACAACATCCACGGCAGCCACAACATCCACGGCAGCCACAACATCCACGGCAGCCACAACAACCACTACAGCCACAGCAACCCCAACGCCGAGGCAGGCAGCAGTCACAGCAGGGCGGCAACCAGCAGCCACAACAACCACTACAGTCACAGCAGCCCCAGCTACAGAGCAGCCAACAGTCACAGCGCCAGGGCGGCCAGAAACTACAACATCCACGACAGCCCCAAGGCAGCCAGCAGGTGCGACGTCCAGAGCAGTCACGGCACCTAGACAGCCTAGACGCTACAAAAACCCCTGCAATTCCATTCACCACATTCATTTATTACCCTCCTATTCTCAAGTCAGTCTTATCATTCCTCTCAGCGTTGGAAGCTTCTCTATTTCTTGCCGTCCTCGGCCTTATATTTCACCCTGATTGGCGGAATACGGTGAAGATATTCACAAACCCACTTCGAGATATCCCAGAAGTAGCGCCGTGGATAGCGACATTTACTAGAAAAGGCCATGCCGCTTTTTTAATTGGGAAAGACTTGAATCACTGGAGATATCCACTTACTACATACAATAAGTCAAGGTCTACTCACCAGCTATGGTTAGCGGTTAGGGTCCGGAAGGGTGTTGACGAAGAACTGGCACGAAGGAGAGAGCAGCAGCAACCTGGCGAGCTTTCTCCAGTTTTCAGCGTCACTAATTCCGGAGACGTGGTTTGGAAGTGGAGACATGCTCTTATACGAAACAGCAGTCTTCTTCCAATCCCAGGTAGCGAAGATCTGGGTCCAAGTCTTCACCCTCGATGTCTTCCTCACACTCGATGGCTAAAGACCGAGACAAATGAAAATGGAGTCCAGCTGGTTTGGGCAAGTACTGGTACGGCTGGTAGCGTTCCTATTGTCAAACTCTGTCCGGCATAATGGCAGGATCAAAGCCACCCAAACGAGGGACTGGTTGGCTGGCACCGGGGAATTGGTATACAATGCGACCGGTCCGCACCTGGAGCTGTCCTCGAAGGTAGGAGATATTATCGCTCCGTTTTCAGTTTGCCATACCTCAACCTAAACACAATGCAATACTCAAAATCGGGGCTAGATAATGTCATCTATTACGGGGACCTTGTTAAACCAGACAATCTTGCTTTGGCGGTCGAATTCGATTGCGCTGGACCATTAGATATCTGCCGGAAAGTTCAGGGAATCCCATGGGCTGTCGAGGATAGAAAAGCAGGAAAATGGGTGTTTTAAGTACTAATAAATTCATTCACCTGCTACCGATCACTGTTTTTGCCTCGGCTGGTAACTGTACATAGAGGCTTTGCTGCTCCGAGCCGGTGGGGCACCTTCGGGAGTGGACGAGACGGCACAAGTCGGCGCAGGCGATACGGCACAGACAGCAGAGACGTTTTCAACCACGTCTTGATCCTAACCCGCTGTAACCCGTACAAACTCGTCTTTTTGTTCTTCTCACTTTCTCAGGCACAATGGCGAAGTCTAACACCAAGCGAACAACCGAAAGATGCTCTCCTAACGACCTTGACTAGGACAATGCAACAGAGTGTCAAAGGGACATCAATAAAAGCTGGCTTAACCAGAGTTCTCAAAAGCAAGGCAAGCAGCTACGGCACCCTCATGGTGTGCCGTAGACCAGTCGTAATCGTCATCACCAGACGTTGAAGACAAAAGATGCTTAGACAATCTCAATTTTAAGACGGTCGTGATCCTGGTGCGAGTTGAAAAGCAGCGGGGCGCTGCGCGGGGTCCTGTGGCTGACCGCCCACGCCAAGTCGGGGGTGGCGCAGCTTTGCACGTGGCCGCAAGCGGCGGCGCCTCCCCTATAGGATAAATAGAAGGGGCCTTCCTCTCCCCTCCCTTTCGATACTCGGCATGAGCAGCGACAGCGGGCACTCTATTACGTAATGAAATAAATGTGCTTCGAGTCAACTGTCTCGTTGACGTGGCTGTAGGCCTCATTGCAACAGTCGCCCAGTAATCGCGTGCCATCTACAACCACTTGCGCACTTCTGCAGCGCATTCTTGCACCCGCCTCGATAAGCAATAGAATATCCATCATTCAGGTATGACGTAGTTGTAGCAACACCACCGCTGCAGCCCGGTTATGGTCTTGACGGGGCTGGCGGATCGGCGGGAGCCCTTAGAGCTTTGGCGGTCGGATACGAGGGATTTGGCCCAGGGTTGTCGCTTCGTCGCTGTCCGACGGGGAATCGTCGTGCTGGAGGGGACTAGCAGACATTTTGTTTGGGGACTGCCTAAATCTCACACCGCCATAGCTAAATAACATACCGGGATACCTAGTTGGTTGATTAGGCGACTGGTCCCGGTTGCTAAGTTTCAACGCGTCGTCGAAGCAGGACGAAGCTGCTCCCGAAGCCGAACCCGAACCCCTTATGGAAGCAGAAGCCCCTGCCGTCGGAAGCCCCTGCCTTCGAGGAAGCAGCCTCTACCATCGAGGAAGTCCCATTCGTACCGGCCCCTGTGGGAACCACCCGGAATCCGGCTGCGGGTTTCATCAAGGTACTCCTCAAGTCGGTTGTACATGCGAGAAGAACCAGGCCTCCACCACCAGAAAGAGCTTGAGGAGCCGTAGCCGAGAGAAAATTGTATCACGTAACCGAGGCAAGACTTTAGAGAGTATCTACAATAACTGGCCCATGGAGACGCTCATACTCGTCAAGCGCCTTCGTCTCCGCCAGGTTCTCATAAGGCTCCCATGTCTCCACTTCGCCCTTCCACTTCACAAGCAGTTCCCAGCCGCCATCATCCCGCCTGTTCTTGCCGCGAATCTCCTCCACCTCCCACTCCTCGGCGGTTTTGAGCTTGGTTTGATACCTCACCTGAATAGCCCCGGCACTGCGCCCCGGGAACTGCTTGGCGATCGCGGACCAAGAAAGTCCTTTGCCCCTTCTCTGACGACGCAATCCAGACGCTGGTCCAGAAATCTTGCGGGTTGTTCATCTATGCTGCGACAGCATGTCGCTTTGTTGGCGCGGGAGGGCTTCTTGCCGGCGAGCGGCTTGCTCATCTGGTGTCCACGGAGCGCTTGCCTGCCAAAGCGGGAACGGCATTGGACCAGATGTATATGACGGTGCTGGAGTCCTCTCTAACCGCCGATTCTGACCCCGGGGAGATGGCTGGGATACAAGAACTGTTCCGACTTGTTATGTGCACCATTGTCGTGCTCTTCGACGCCCTTTCGCCTGCTGGCCTTGCTATACTACTCCACCAGTCCAAGGAGGAAGAAGAGCACTACAACCAGATTCCGAGGCATTTTTAGCAGGATGAAGGCTAAGCTCGTGGTCAGACGTGGACAAAACCCTTCAACTCTGGGAGTAATAGTTTACGATGCGAAGCGATTTTCGCTAAGCCACAGCTCAATCATTGAGGAGGCTCCACTGCAGGCATACTGTTCTGCTCTAGTGTTCAGTCCCGAAGCGAGCATTATTCGGCGGCTCTACATACATCAGCATCCCAAGTGGATCGTACGGGCACCAGTGCTCTCAGAAGACTGGAGTGTGCATCTGCAGACACTAAGCCATTCGAGTGCGGTTTGGGCCGTCGCGTTCTCGCCGGACGGCCGGCTCACCGTGTCGGGCTCTCGCGACAAGACGGTCCGGCTATGGGATGCGGCGACGGGTGCACTGCGCCCCGGGAATTGCTTGGCGATCGCGGACCAAGAAAGTCCTTGCCCCCTCAGCTGGAGGATCTTCGCGTCGTCTGCTGACGTATACTTCGCCCTCCTTGACGTTGACGCCGGCTTGCCCTTGCACTTGGTAGTCCCGGTGTTCTTTTGTCTCGCTGGGCGGTGCCTCCTCGCGGTAGTCCCCTGAGTCTCCGTTCTACAGTGTCCCGCTCCGTGTTCTACGGGTGGATCCTAGGTGAACTGCACCGCGAAAATGGGTGGCGAACCGTCCATTGTAATGCGCTTGAGCACTGCGTCTCCAAGGGGCCATTCCTTGAATGTCATATGTTCTGCGCAAAAATCCCAGGTGAACTGCACCATGAAAGTGGGTGGCGAACCGTCACTTGTGACACGCCTGAGGACCGCATCTCTAAAGGGCAATTCCTCAAACGTTGCGGCGGGGTGGCCAGTCCTTACGGTCCATAATGAACAAACTGTGCCCAGTTAAGCGGCATCGCCATGTCGCCCACTCTAACCCCCATTACTGCCTCCCTCAACGCCGCCGCCATCTGTCCGTCCTGCCACCGCGACCCCCCTTGCTCAAAGAGCGACGAGTAGAACCCGCCCGCCATCTCCACGCAGACCCCGTCATTCGATGGCCAGAGGCAACCGACGACGTGCGGAAAGCCGGCTACTAGGAAGCCGCTCACCACGTGGATCACTTCGTCTGACAGCCGCTTCGCCCTGTTTTCTGCCGTCGAGCAGGCCGACAGGTACGCGAGCCGCGCCTGCCGAAGGCTCAATTCCGAGATCCTTGCGACCGTGAGCCTATCCTGTACTGGACCAGCGCCGTCACCGCTTTCTGTTTGCTCTTCGCCTTGCCTCTGCAATATCAGTCCACTTTGAGACGGATCCATATGGTCTGTCAATCCATGGCATGCAAAATGTACAACAGAGCAGTGTCCCAGCTCTTCAAGTACCTGGTCGACGCTGGGTTGCGCCAGATGACGTACTGGGAGGCGTCCCTTGGTGACCTCCAACACTTTGTCCTTCTCCAAGGTCGCGCCAGGAAGACTCGGCGGTGGCTTTCGGTCCTTTTCGGCCGGCGTTGTCAGCATGGAAACGGCCAAGAGCGAGCCGTGTGTGGCCTCTGTCTCCTTCGCTCTTTTGCCGGCGTGAGCAAGCGCTTTGATTGACGGCGCGTATGACGATACCGCCCTGTGGTAGGCCGTCTCGGTCGAGCCTGTGCGGTGTATTCCGGCGGCATGGAATGGCATCGAGCCGGCCATGCCACTTCCGATCCACCACACTCTTAGGAGGCCATTTGCAGACAGATCTATGAGAGCGCGCACCTCATCGAGGATCTGTTCAACACAGGACTTCCAAAGCCAAGCCAAGTACGCCAAATAGTCCCGGTTTTTAGCTGCACGCTCAGCTCTACGCCCCCTCCAGTCCTTGCTCAGCCAGGTCTCCGCCTCAGATGTTGATAAATTGGAGAGGTTTACTGCCTTGACGACCGCTGGCGTTATGATAATTGCGTCGCTCCGGAACTCGGTAATATTAACAACCACAATACTGCCTCCTGCCGCGCATTCTTGCATTTCGGCTATCGTCTGCCCGAGAAGAAATCGTTCATAGCCTGGAAGGGATCTGATCTGTTCTATGCAGACATTGAAGTCCAAGACGGATTGGCGACGTCGCTCTAGGAGTTGCTCTCTCCAGGCATCCTGTTCCAGGATGCGTAAAGGGGCGTTGACTTCGTCGCGGAGCTCATTGTACCGGCGAGCGACGTCTGGATGATTCCGTGCTAGATCGGACACGCTGCCTCGACTATCGATGAGCTGACTTAGAATAACAGCGCGGCCCTTTTCCAAGTATTGTAGAGCATCATCGACTCGGTTCGATGCCAGATGCAGCGAGCATAGATCTGCAGCCACGCCTGCAAATGTCGAGACGACGTGCTGTTGGTCATTACGGTCAAGGAGCTTTGTATTCAGGGTGGGCAGCAGATGAATGACGTCTTGGCCAAGCTGCGTGGCAACACTGATATTACCTCGGACGGCAAGGAGCTTAATACAGCGAGCAGCAGCCTGGACACGATGAAATGGCACGGCTGTATCGGTGTCCCAAGCCTGTTGGAGACAAATACAGGCGTTATCGAGGTCGCCCATGGCTCCAGTGCGTTCATACCGACTATGAAGATTGTTTCCGAGGCTATTCAACCTCCCTGCGCGGTTGGGGTGCTCGTCCGGCGTGGCGGCCACTGCTTGTCGAGCCACGCCAATTGCCTCCTCCAGGTCGCCCATGGC